CAATATTTTTATCTGTGTACTTAAATAAACTTAATTTTGAAAAAATATTAATTATTAATTGATTAATTTTAAGTTATAATATTACATAATATTTTGTTTTTAAACATACTTGTATATATATATAGTGGACGCCGCTTATAAGACTCACTTTGGGATTAGCATAAAGTGAGTCTCTATAAATAATAATTTGTTGTGCATACATAGTTCATGGGATGGTTAGAAACTAGCAATAAATAATAACCAATACAAAATTTATTTTCTACGATTTTTCTTAAGAAATTTAAGTCTTATAACCGAATTTAAATATTTGAATACGTCCAGACCATTCCAGGCGATTTTGAGTCTAATAAGTGGCTGAACCATTTATGGCTGAGTGTATTGGTTGTTCGAAGTCTCCATAAATTATATTTGGTGCAAAATGTAATGGATTACGAAGTAAGATTAATGCTAACATGAACAAAATGAATTTCCAACAATAAATTTTAAGGTGGTATTTATAGATAAGATATCGATGATAATTGAGATTATCTACGAGTTAAGGGGATTAGAAGCAGTGATTTTCTTTCTCTGTCTAACACAAGTGCAGCATAGCAATTTAGACGTTTTATAGTTCCAACGTACTGATCGATCTATTGATGCGACAAGGAATCTAAAAACAGATTTACATTTGTCGTCAAGTCTACTTTAGATCAACTTTCCCACTTTTTTAATTTTTTCCCCAAAATCCCATAAATTAGCTTTAAGCAAATAAGAAACCTAAAAATCATCAAAAGTTAATTTTTTGATATTCTTAGCACTACATTTCTAAAATGTGTAAAAGTCGATCTAAAGTAGACTTGACGACGAATGCATATCTGTTTTTAGATTCCTTATCGCATCAATAAATCGATTGGTACGTTAGAACTAGAAAACGTCTAAATTGCTATGCTGCACGTGTGTTAGACAGAGAAAAAAAATCGCCGCTTCCAATCCTCTTAATCACCAAACAATATTCACAGTTGCTGAAAACCCCATAGCCCGAGTAAACCGCGGACGCAACTCGGATATATCGTGACAAAACCGCGAATGCAACTCGGACAAAATATCATTTAGGGATGCAATTCGTATGCGCCGGAGCGATGGCATATATAGAAAACATTTTATATAAATTTTGATAGAATAAGTCAAAATATTAAGTAATTATAAGTAGGTATAATAAAGTATTCAAGTTAAAATAATTTTAAGAGATAAATAATAAGAGTGAAATATCCACTTAGTTTAAAAAAAATTGCCAATTTCTGTGAAAGCCAAACAAGATTCATACCAATATTTGAATAATTATATAATATACCTTTAATTACCTTGAATTAATAACTAAACGGGTGTCTGATATTTACTTATCGGGTGATACATACGAGATTGTATTAAGTACACGGGAACGAGTATTAAATACACGTGTATCAGTAAAAAATACCTGTATATTGAAAACACGGATATTAATAGATTTAATACACGTGTACACGTAACGCAGGTACACGTGTACTCTAATAACCATGTATGACCCCTAATTTAAATTAATTATTTTTATGATAACGATTTTGGATATATACGAGTAATAACATCATACATAGCATTTATTATGAAAATATTACTATTTTGCACTTAAATTATACTCTCATGACACCGATATTTTATAGCATCAATTATTCCAAGAATCGTTTTTATAGCTTTAAATTTATGTTGTAACATGCAATACATTTTTGATGATATTAAAAAATACGAGTTCAACTATTTCCGCCTTGAATGTTCGGTGTAGGCATCCGGACTCACGGCCTGTCATACTACACTTAGGTCGGGTAGGCAACCAAACTCATAGTTTGTCTTTTGGTCAACACAACGAAAATAGTATTTTGATGACAAAGTTGAACGATTCACGCAAGGCCGTAACTGAAAAAAAATTTCGGGGGGGGGGGTCCAACATTAATATTTAATACAATGTATAGTTAATAAACTATATTCACGGCTAAAATGTTTCTACTTTTGAAAATTTCAGGGGGGGGTTCGGACCCCTGGTTTCAAACTTCAATTCTGTACATGATTTGGCAACATTTATAATTGTAGACAATTATTTGATAGTACCTAGAACATTTTCTAGACTTTTATTCAGCTTGTTTCATTTTTTTTTTTTTATTATACCAGTGATGGTGACAAATAAAGAAAAACTTTTCATAATTTAAATTAATGAAAAACTATCTTTGAAGTATAATTCACGATTCGTTTGCCAAGTTTAGCTGTAATATCAATAGAAAAAAAAATTACCAAATAAATTAATAAATTAGATCTTATTTATATTTTAGCAAATAAAAAGTCTAGAAAAATGTTTTAAGTTTTGAGTCTTATTATATTTATTTTAATTGTTATTTGTTAAAACTATAACTATTTAATGATTTTTTTGTATGTATATAGTATGAGGTATTAAATTAATAATAAATATTTATTGTTAATTAAATTATTATAAAATTATAAAGTGTGTAATTAATAAAATGTGCAATATTTTTTAAAAAAAACTGTTTCAAAATAGTTTTAGAAAAATGAATACTCCCTCAGATCTTAATATATATGCTTTGATGAGGGGAGCCCTTTAAAAATTTCATTTCCGGGTCCAAATTTTGAAGTAACACCGCTAATAGTAATAATAAGAATCATAATTATAATTTAAAAAATGATCACTAATTCCACAAATGAAAAGACAGAAGCCGCGACTATTCAATTATTTCAACTATTCAACACTAACAAGTTTATATACAAGTATATATATAACAAAAAAAAATAATAACTCATTTTCACAACAGCAAATGCTTAAAAAATTGATTGAAAATACATTTTTTCTTAAATAGCAAAAAACGAACATTCATACATCAAGGTAAAATTAATAAATTCCTCGTTTTCTCAGAATATAAAATTACTGAATAAATGTATGTAGCAATATAAAGGTTTTTTAAACCACTATCAAGATAAAAAAAAATCTCTTATAAAAATTAAATTCTCAACAAAATTGACCACCGACTCATTCAATTCTAATTTTATGTAAACAATAATAATAAAAATATTATTCTAATTTAATTTTTATAGTTTGTAAGTTATTTAACAAGGATGTTTAATTTTATATTTAAATAATTACCAAAACTTATTTGATAATGACAAAGTCTCAAGAAATATGATAAAGTTAACACAATGAAACTTGTCTGAAATGGGCCCAGAATGATTCATAGACCTATATCAAGGCTGTGTCACATATTATATAGTTGATATAAATTATATATATTATTATTATTATTATTATTATATATATATATATAGAACTAAATAAAAGAGAAACTTATCTAAATTGATATCAGTAGCTCTTTTATTTCTTTTAAATCTGTCTTAGACAGATGTTAATGTACTTATTATAAATTGTATGCAACATAAATATTTAATTTTAGAAAAAAAAACTAATTTTACAAATCACAAATTGAATCATTTAAGATGTTCAATATTCTTTGAAATGTATTAATTAAAAATATATACTCACTAAATACTTATAGTTTGTAAATGTAAATACCAAGTTAAAACGTAAACAATTATTGGTTAATATTTAATAACAATAAAATTTAATATATCTAATAAGAATATAATTAAATTTATTATACATTTAATTACTAATATAGATAAATCTCTACATTTAGTAGTAATTTATGAGTTTGAGACTTAGTGCACAAATAATGCTTGAAATATGCTAGTATAATTGTTAAAATACCTAAGTGAACTATTCTGTAAATTTAAAAAATTAAAAATATTTATTACAACTTTTAATTAAAATGTCAAACATGACATTTTCAGTTGCCTATGTTACGGTCATACATAAATTTAGGTCCTTACATGTATCATTTGTATGGGGGACTATATATCACTTAATATAAAAATAACTCTTATAAATATAATGGCTAAAGGATTATGGACGCTTTCCAAAATAACAATGCGTAAATACAAAGCACGAGATGGAATATAACATATATAAAAGGTGGTTCTGCTAAATACAGAATTAACGAGGCCAACCAAAGGTAATGCACAATCCAGGGTTGGGCATACAGTAATAACTTAAGTATAACTTAAAAATTCTATATAGGGAATTTGCATATCAATAACCAAATACTATAATTGATACAACAATCTAAATACTGAAACGCGTACAAGGACTTCGCATAACACCGGGTATTAGACATTAGACATGTATATTAAAGGGTCAAATATATTAATCTTTTGAAAAATCACAATCTCTTACACAGGAGCAGGGTATATAAAGACCAATATTCAGATGTGTTAAATTCCGATTAACAAGCACCTTCACACCGATATAATTGTCTAATTAATTAAATGTTTTTTACTTAGAAATATTCACAATAAATAACAATTTAACTTAAATTGAGTAATTATTTGGAATATCCTAACACACATCCTTCGTCAGAACTATTGTATTGACAGCACCTAAGTAACACCTAATATTCATTGTATTTTACACTTATGTAAACAAGTGTTTATACAATCATAACACATTTAATTCAGCAAGTGAGAAATAAAAATCCATTGACAAATTTAGACTACTTTACACTACTAGAAAATAATTTTTTGTTTGTAGTAAGTTCATCGTTGCAGCAAAAGAAAAACATTGCAGATATATTACGTTTTAACGACACATAATAATAAAACACTTGTTCACAATCATACGGTTTACATTTTATATTTTAAATAATTCTATGTATTATTTTTCTCAATAAAAAAATAGTTTATATGTAAAAATAAATAAATAAATAAAAGTTTAGCCATTTAATTATATTTGATTTATTATCTCTCATCTTAGAAATTTTAATAACGCACATAATATATTATTATCACCTACGGAATTCAATATTTTTATCATAACTTATTTGTATAATTTTGTTATCTTTGGCTCTGATAGCTGTGACGGCAATAACGTGGTCATCGTAAAGAATCACTCCCACACTGCTGATCGATTTTGACTCTCGGTCGTAACTTCATGTTTTGAAATGCGCATGTATTTCGTGTATTTTATCTCTCATCTTAACCTATAATAAATTTAAAGTGATATTTTACATACGACCCGGTGACTGTTGCAGCACTTTTTCAATTTAAATCGTTTTAAATGTAATAATTTGAAAAGTATTCTGTTTCTCAGTATTATTACTGTTGAATGTTTTTTAATTAATTTGCGTTCTGTTTAAACTAATACACTATGGACAGTGAAAAGCCGGATGTAATGTCTGCGAATGAACTGAGGTAATTAACGTTTGTATGAACTTTAATTTTTTCGAATTTCAGTTATTATTAGTCTGTTTGATTTTAATTATGTATATTTTTTAAAGTAATATAAGTTTCTTCAACAATAATTATTTACTTCAATTTATATTGCATGAATTGCAGAGTCTTATCTAGCTCTAAAATTTTGGAAGTTCTATAGCATTAAGAAAAACCAATACCTCATAAACCTTTAAAAAACAATGATGTTCAAATGCAAATTTACCTTTTAAATCTTTTACAATGTACGAGCTAATGCAGCAACTTCAAATTAATATGTTTTCCCATCGATAAAACAATTTGAGTCTAAATTTTTCATAAAAACAGAAATTTAATTATTAATTTTTGAATAGCAATTAATAATATAATGAATTTATTAATTCAATTTAACACCTCAGCGTTTTAATTGAAGAAAATTATAAATTAAATTAAACCTTATTGTGTATACTTATTATATTTTTGCTATTTTTATTACCATCATAGTATAAAATGTATATTTTATATAGTTACAATTAATGATAGGCTTTTTTATCAAATATCAGTCGTGTTAAAAAAATAATAAAATATAATTCACATATGCCAATATACCTAAACATTTCCTGAAATGTAATCTCATAAGATATTGATTGTAAATCTTAAGGATAAAATTATATTGCTACATTAATTAAATTGGAGGTACTTATGATAAGCACTCTTACTAAATTACCCCTGGTTAAAGTGGTAAATGAGACAAACTTACATTTATATTTGTTTTTAATATCTTAAAAACCATTCATTTTTGAAACTACTAAATTTGTTAAATTGTAAAGTTAAAATTTGTTTCCATATCTATGTATGTGTATTGTCTATCTTAAAAACATACAATATAACAAATTTATGTTCAGTATTTGACATTTTGTAATATTAGATTAAACTGACTTATTGAATATAAAGTGAAGAATATAATCTAAATTTTGTTGGTTAGTTGTTTTTTAATTCTTCTTCTTATCCTTCGCCTTTTTTCCAACTACAGTAAAACTTGCTTAAAACGCTCCAGCTTAAGACGTTTTCCCGCATAAGACGCTATTTTCCGTCAGTCCCTAGACATTTCCTATACTAGTCAATTTAAAAACCATCTGTTAAGACGCTCAGTTTTTCTCTATCTTATTGGATAAAACCCTCTTTTGTTTAGCAGATTATGATAAATTTTAGTAAGTTTGTCGAAATAAAAATAGACATTTTACTTGTTTACGTGTTCTTATTGTTGTATCATTTTATTTTATCACTATACATATTTTATCATCAGCTATTATTATTATCCAGTATCTACTCCTGCAATTACTGCTGGGTTGCAACACCTAACAGAAATTCGAAAAGTATTATCCTCTATAGAAAATGTTGAAGAAATGTTGGATTGTCTCAACAAAATAGAAAACTTTCTTGCTGAGACGCATTGTCAGCATCGTAAACAAACAGAAATATATCAATTTTTTAAATAAACAATAATAAAATATTTAATAATAATTTTTTTTAAATTAAATTCAGTAGCAAAAAATATATGTACACATGTATTTAATTACATATACATATATAATTTATTAATGTTTATTTTGTTAAATTATGTTCAATAATAAAAAAATTAACTCCACATTTCAATCACTTCATTTTTTTCCAATCCCGCATAAGATACTTTCCCGCTTAAAACGTTCTAGAGAGCTGGTCCCTTAAAGAGCGTCTTAAGCGAGTTTTACTGTATTTGGGTTCGGCCACCCATATCCTAAACCTCCTCTCTCAATATTCTACATTCCCTACACACATACCAACAGCCCTCATATCGTTCTCAATGGTATCCAACCATTTATTTTTTGGTTTTCTTCCTGTTTTCTCAAAGAAATTTTTTTCTTTTCTCTTTCTTCTTTTGTTGGTTAGTTTTTTACAATATTTTAATTTTAAATATATTGAAAAGTATTTATGATAAATAAAAAGTACCGATAATAATTGTATTTCAACTGTGTTAATTGAATAAGTGTGAATTAATACCATTGAGATTTATGTAAATCACATATTACAATATTACACTATAATCAACACTACTGGCTACTGTTATAAAATTGTATTTGATTATTAATTTTTTGCATGATTGCAACTATGCAATTAATTGGTCTTATGTTTGTTTAATTTACTTAAGGTTCTAAAATATTTATTGTTTTTTAATAATAAATTAATAATATTATTTAAAAATATATCCTCTTTTTTTTTATGTACTTGTATTTTTGTATTAAAAAATATTTCCTTATAATTTAAATTTGAATTTACCTATTTTTGCAGAAAATACATTATTATTGATAATCATTTATGATGAAAATAAAATAGTCAATTATTTTTATAACTTTAATTTAAAAATTGTAAATTATATTATTTAGAATTATTTTTCTCTCCAACTGTTCAAATTATTATTTATTCATTAAATAAATGTAAAATGTTACTAACATATATTTTTAGAGTTATACTGGATTATTACTCTCAATATCCACCCCCATGGATTGATAATTCAAAGTCTTCAGCTAAAAAGAGAAAAATGGAAAATAATGATATCAGAATAGTTGAAGATGTTTTACGTGCTTTAAATTTAGCAGCTGAACATTTTCGAAACCTTTGGGATTGGTCAGAATTTGCCAATATGTATTTAAATAATGATAATACATATGTTGTTTGGTAATTAAAAAAATAATAATAATAATCATAGAAAGATTAATTTTACCATCCTATTTTCAAGGTTGGCTTGTCAATGTAATGCTATTATATTACAATTAACTGAATCGGAAAAGAATGCTTTGGTTAATCTTTATATGGATCAAAAAACTAATGATGAACATATGCTTACATACAATTTAAAGTCACACTTAGACCAAAAAGATTATCTCAAATCTTATATTGCAAGCCAATATATAACTGTTGAAGAAGTATTTTTACCTATTGTTGGAGCTTCTAAACAGGTATATTATAGATAAATGCATTATATACTACATATTCAACAACATAAAATTTCCTCTCGTGTTATATAGATATTTCATTAAATATATTATTGTTATTATTATATTTTTTTTTATTTTTTTTTTTTTTTAGCTTAATGATCTAATTCTTGTAAATTCTACAAAACAGAATTTACAAAAACTATCTTTAGCAGTTTCTGCAGGAAAAGTTGCTTCTTTGGTTGGGCCCGTTGGAAGTGGCAAAAGTGCTTTAGTACATTATTTAGCAAATGTTACTGGTTTGTAATGATTTAATCATTGTCTATAAATTTATTTGATTTTTATATTTATATTAAATTAACCACAATATTAATGGTTCAAAGTAAAATTGTATTATTAATGTCGTATAGTAGTACCTATTTACAAATTTGGTCAGTATATTTTCATGTTTAAGTATTAAAAATATTTATAGAAATTTTATTATTTTCCTATTTAAAAAAAGAAAAAAAAACTTTACAAAAATATAATTGCCTTTATTTTTAATCATTAATATAATATTTATACAGGGCATACTGATGAAAAATTACTAACTGTACAACTTGGAGATGAAACCGATTCTAAAATGATGCTAGGATCATATCATTGTACTGACATTCCTGGAGAATTTGCTTGGCAACCTGGAGCTCTTACAAAGGTTATTGCTAGTTTATTTTTCTAATTTTAATTATTATTAATTTTTTTGTATTATTATGAGTAATATTAACTATGTATTTTTCTGAAAAAATTAAGATTAAAATTATGAATAACAATTAAAATTTGTCTATCGAAAATAAAAAAGTTTATATCATAAAATTATAATCACTTATCAAAATGTTTATGTTTTTTATTAACATAATATATCTTAATATTTTTTTAATCCTAATATTTTAATATTTAGGCTGTAACTGAAGGAAAATGGTTATTGCTTGAAGATATAGACTCAGCTTCTAGTGATTTAGCAGCTGTCCTTGTATCACTTATAGAAAGTCGAACACTTACTGTTCCTGGATTTAGAGATAGAATTATTCCTGCTACTGGATTTCAGTTATTTTTTACTCAAAGAGTTGTTTCTACTACTAGTGGATATTATAGTAAACAAAACATTGCAACAGATTTACTAGGAAAGCATTATATTCAAGTAAATGTTGAACCATTAAGCAAAGAAGAATTAATTAAAGTGATTGAAATTAAGGTATTAAGAATGATAAATCTATAGTCTATATTGATATTAATGACTATTGGTAATATTATAAAAAAAAAAATTTTATTCAAACACTTTAGTTTCCAGTATTAAAAACAATAGCCCCAAAAATTGTTGATGTTTTTTTCTTGTTTTCTGCTGGATTTCATAATGATATTATTCTAAATTTAAAAAGCAGTGGGAGATTAACTTCCACTAGAGATTTAATGAAGTGGTGTTCAAGGATTGTGAAAGAATATGATGTAACTTCCAGTGAATCTGCTTTGAAAGTAATTCAAGATGCAATTGATATATTTTGTTGTAGTGAAAGAGATTCAAGTTAGTATTAGTATTAATTTATTCAATTATACCAATTGTAAATTTTATATTAATTTATAGTGTAATAAAAGTAATACATTTATTGTGTCTCTTAATAATAGGTATATGACTATGTCTACTCTGTTTTTTATTAAATTTTTGTCTTTTCGACATTTTCTTTCATATATCAATGCATTTAATGTAAATTATGGTCTAAATGAGCCATTTTAATGTTGTGACTTCGCTGATTTGGACCTTTATTTCTCTTTATACTTAAATAATAATAATTAAAATGATGATCAGTGTTTCACTTATTATATTTTGTTAATAACTAATTTAATATAGATAAATAATTTAAAATTTCTCAAATCTGTATATTTATCGAATTTATTTTAATTTTATTCATATAATTATATCTGTTAAAATGGGTGCAAGCCAGTTATTATTAATTAATATTCACTCAATAGGAATTTTTAAGACCATTGATAAACAATATAAAATTAGAAAACAATAGTTAATAATTTAATTAGTTAACAATAAATAAATACAAAAATAAAAGTATATCTTAATAAATACCTAAATACATAAAACTTCTTTTGATATTATTATATAAATTATTTACTATAATAATACATTTTTGTTGAGTTTAGGTAGCTTTATGTAGTCTATCATTGGCTTTACATGATATGTTTTTTTTTTTTTTTTTTAGAAACAAGACTTGAGCTTGCTCGACATGTTGCTTCATTGATTGGTGTTGTAAAAACTAAAGCAGAGTTCTTTTTAAATGAATACAAACCAACTATAATACTTGATGAAAAACATTGTATTGCTGGTCGAGTTACATTACCACGAACAGGTTCATTTTTAACAGAAAATTATTTGTAAGTATTGAATTGATAATATTTAAATTTTCTTCTAATAATAATTTTTTCTTACATGAATCATTTCACTATACAAATGTATATAATAGGTATATATAAAAATTGGGTATAATGATTTATCTACTACAGAAATTGTATTTTAGTATTTATTTATTAAAGATTTATTTTTCAGATCAAATTCTGTCTTTGCTTTTACACGGTCTTCTTGTTGTCTTTTGGAGCGAATTGCTTCTGCTATTGATACACAAGAATCAGTATTGCTTGTTGGAGAAACTGGAACTGGAAAAACATCAACACTTCAACTACTTGCTAAACACACCGGAAATAAATTAATTGTTTTAAATATGAATCAACAAAGTGATAGTGTTGATCTCATTGGAGGTTATAAGCCAGTTGAATTCAAAATTATTATTAAACCAATTCGAGAAGAATTTGAATGTCTTTTTAGAGCTGAATTTGATTTAGTAGAAAATACAAAATTTTTGGGACACATATCAGTAATTAATTTTAATATAATTTGTTTTACCCATATAAAATTTATTTTGATCTATATTTTAGACTTGTTTTAATAATCGTGAGTGGACCAAATTAATCAAATTAATTAAGCATGTAGTAGAAAAAGCAATTAAAAAGAATACAAGAACTAATAAACCTATAAAACATTGGTTAAATTTAAATGAAAAACTAAGTAGGTTTGAAATTCAATTGAAACATTGTCAAACATCAATGGCTTTTGCATTCGTTGAAGGAAGTCTTATTCGAGCTGTTAAAGAAGGTAATATTACTCTAATTTTAATAAAATTAATTATTAAAATAGGTTTATTTCTATTTGTTTAGGATATTGGGTCTTACTGGATGAAATAAATCTTGCCTCAGCAGAAACATTACAATGTTTATCAAGTTTACTTGAATCTAATGGAACTCTAACTATATATGAAAAAACCGACTCTAAACCTATCATCAGACATCCAAATTTTAGATTAATGGCAGCCATGAATCCAGCAACCGATGTTGGTAAAAAAGATTTGCCTTCTGGCATAAGAAACAGGTATTTTCTATTTTGTAAATTTTATGTATTTATTTAATTTTTAATTTTTTGGACTTTAGATTTACAGAGTTTTTTGTTGATGAGTTAATAGAACGTTCAGATTTAATTACATTAACAGCTTCTTATTTACCAGACTATTCTGCTAAAAAATTAAATTGTATAGCTAAATTTTATTTAATAGCAAAACGTGAAGCAGAACATAATTTAGTAGATGGAACTGGACACAAACCTCATTATAGCTTAAGAACATATTGCCGTGCATTGTCGATTGCGTCAGTAAATCCATGTCAATCAACTCAAAGATCATTATATGAATCTTTTTGTCTTAGTTTTCTGACTCAATTAGATAGCTTGTCTCATAAACTTGTTGAAACATTAATAGCAACCACTATGTTTGGTGAAAAGTTAATCATGGGAGTTATTAATCAACCTATACCAAAACCCATTAAGACTGAAATGTTTGTTCAGTTTGAAGGTTATTGGATTCAAAAAGGAAGCCTAGAACCTTCAACTGCTGAGAACGTATGCATCTAGTTAAAATAGTCAACTGAACAATTTCACTAAAATTTTTAATATTTTACAGTATATTTTAACAAATAGTGTTAAAAAGAATTTACGGGATCTTGTTCGAGCTGTTTCATTAAGTTGTTTTCCAGTTTTAATTCAAGGAGACACATGTGTGGGAAAAACTAGTCTTATCACCTATTTAGCAGCTGCATCTGGTAATAATTTGGTGCGTATTAACAATCATGAGCACACAGATTTACAAGAGTATATTGGCTCGTATTTAGCTGAATCTATAACAGGTCAACTAGTATTTAAAGAAGGTTTGTAAATATATTATTATTCTAAAATTATAAATTAATTACTGCAATTGTTGTTCATTATTTAAACTAATATCTCACACCTTTTTTTATGTTGTCTATTTTTTAATATACACAAATAATTAGTATTAATCCATAGCTATCTTTTATATAAATATATATTTAAGTAGTTTTATAAAAAGTAGGTTACATCATGACTTCAAATTATATTTTAAACAATTTTGTTTTTTAGTCTTAATAAAATTTAATTTTGTTATATTTCTTTTGTCTTGATAGGAGTTTTGGTGGAAGCAATGAAGAAAGGTCATTGGATTGTATTGGATGAATTGAATTTAGCACCAACTGATGTATTAGAAGCTTTGAACCGAGTTCTTGATGACAATCGTGAATTATTTATACCAGAAACTCAGACGACTATCAAAGCTCATCCTGGATTCAGATTATTTGCTACTCAAAATCCTCCAGGATTATATGGTGGTCGTAAAGTGAGTTTTTTCGTATATTGCAATTTTAAAATAAATTAAATAACACGTTAAGCATAATGTAACATTTAAAATTATATTTACAAAAATTTCCATTAGTATTTTACTGCTATAGTATTGGTTTTCTAGTTTTAGAATACTATATAACTATAACATGAAACAAGAAATAAACTGATCTTATAAAAATAGTTTTCTCAATTAGTTTAAGCGCTTAACATATATTATTTTATAGACTAATATTGTTTAGTATTATTATATGTTCATCGATTTTCAACAAAATTGGTTTTATTTTAGATTCTGAACGGAGTGATAAATGTATTGATTTTATAATGATGTGTGTTTTTTATTTTATTTTTTAAGTGAATCTAGTTGGTACTTTGGGGGGTTAAAAGTAAAATAATGTCAATAATTTTCAAAAACGTCAGGAAAAACCCTAAAAAGTAATGAAAAAACTGGAATTATTACGCATAACCAGTTTTTGATAAAATAGATTTTTTTTTTAATTTGCTGTAACACAAAAACAAATAAATTTAAATACTTGATGTTTTCATTAAATGCTTAAATTAGTAATATCTATATACGATTCAATTTTCAAAATATTTAGACTTTTTAAGCTATTTATAGATAATTGAAATTTTCAATTTTTCAATGCATTTTTTTTTTAAACTTTAATAAAAAAAAAGTCCGAAGTATGTAACCTGTTCTTAATCCTACTTGAAAAATAAATTATTTGTATAAAAAAAAATATGTATATACAGGTTGTATAATATATCCTAGAGTCTAGATTGATAAATCATCTCCGTTTAGAATCGTTTTTCGTATACAATGATACATATCATTACATTCAAATTTAACATATCCACCTATTCTCCGCCCCTACTATATAGTAGAGCGAGTTTCCTGTTATTTTAGTTGTAACTCAGAAAATAATAATTGCAGTATTAATTAAATGTTTGTTAAATCATCGTTAACTATACATTTAATTTCTAATAGTAAATAGATAAATAACTTCAAAATATTTCGACTTTTTTGATCTATTGATATTGGAAATGTTATACTTTTTAGTTCTTTTTTTAGCAAAATGTCTATAATATAATTTTGATTTGACAACAAATTCTTTGAAGTTAATTACGAAGTTCTTTGTTCATGCCTTTAACTGTTAATTGGAAAAAAAATATGTGAAATTTCAAAAATCAAAATATGAGTGTTAGTGTATAACATTTGCACAAAGTGATAAAAATCTGAAAATTTTTTTATGTTGAAAATGTATACTTACTTCAAATTTAAAATTTGATACAAGTTTTTCTACAAGATTTCCTTTATATCCATTCCATCAAAAGCGTAAGTATATATATATATATATATATATATATTTCTGTACACAATTTTAATCAAAATTTAATCACGATCTTGGAAGGTTTTTAGTATTAAATTCTATCTTGTTAATATCGTTCAAAATGTAATTTTACAAAATTTCCTATAGTTTTCTTAATAATTGCAAAAGCTAGCGAAAAGTAAAAAAAAACTTGCAAAATTTACCACTCGATCTTTTTAACTAAAATTGTTTTAACGAGTTCGATGGTACCTTGATTTTGAATACATTTTATTAATAAAATTTATATATTTAGATATTATCCAGAGCATTTAAAAACCGTTTTATTGAGATGCACTTTGATGAGATTCCAGCCAACGAGTTGGAAATTATATTATTTAAACGATGTGAAATTCCATCATCGTATGCTAAAAAAATAGTATCTGTAATGAAAGAACTTCAATCAACACGTAAAGGTAGTGCTGCATTTGCTGGAAAACATGGTTTCATAACATTGAGAGATTTATTTAGATGGGGTGAGCGGTACCGTTTAGCGAATGTATCAAATAACTATGATTGGAATCAACATTTGGCTGATGAAGGTATAATTACAGCGAAATATATAAATAAACTTTTACTTTTCAGTATTAGCTAAAATTTTTATATTTTAGGTTTTTTGGTTTTGGCTTCTAAAGTTCGAAAAATAGAAGAAGAACAAACTATTCTACATATATTAGAAAAACATTTCAAATGTTCACTTTCTCTAAATAGATTATTTACATGTGAGTTACTGAAATTATTGCATTGTAAAAATATTTAAAAAATTAAATAATTTATTTTTAGTAAATGATAGTACATCTGTAGTAACTCGTCATATACTTCAAAGAATACAAAAACCACCCCCTGGATTTGAACATATTTACATGTCTAAAAATTTAAGACGAATGGTTGTTCTCGCTTGTAAGTAAATATTACTTTAGTAATAACCAGGGCTAGGATTTGTATGCAATAAAAAATTTTAAAATATGCATTTAAATTTTTATAAGATTAACACAAAAATATAATTAAAAAAAAATATTTGTTTATTGAAATACATCAGTGGTTGGATTTTTTTCTTAACCCTACAATGCATGATTTTTTTATTTTGTAATTTTTTTGGGGTTTTTATATTAGTCCTAATGAAGGGGAAATTACTTAAAAAAATTTTTAGTATTTTTAGTCTAAAAAATTAGTTCTTTAGTTTGTTGCCTGTGAGCAACGTTATGTATTTACGTACAACATAATTATTTATTAAATTTATAAATGTAATTTATTCATATACCTATCTTGAAAAGTTATATCGTTTATTCATGAACTATAAATATAAGAAAATAATTGATTAATGTACCAATTACAAAACAAAGTATATATTTTTAAAAATTTAAATTAATATAATATAATTTAAATATAAAATAAAACAAAAATAATTTGAAATAAATTTTATGTTTGACAAAAAGAAACAAGTTTTATACTTTAATCAGCCGGTCTAGAATTAAATACGAAATATTAATATTAAATAATAAATATTAATTACAAAATATACTAAAAACATCAATTTTTCACATTCTTATAATCGAAATATGCAATAATATCCATTTTATTCAATATATGCGATAATATGCATTTTATCTTAAATATGCAAAAACATGCAAAATAAAAATACCATAATGTATCTCATTATGAGGTGATTCGTGGACATTACTGATGAAATCAACTATCAGAAGTCGCAAAAAAAAACATGATGTTGCATACAAATCCTAGCCCTGGTAGTAACAATTAAATAATATATTTAATAATTTTTTCAGCTAAGTCTATTGAGTTTAATGAACCCATACTATTTGTTGGTGAAACTGGGTGTGGTAAAACAACTGTATGTCAAATGATGGCTGCTCTTAGTAAGAAAAAATTACTAACTGTTAATTGCCATCAGCATACTGAAAGTTCAGACTTTCTTGGTGGACTCAGACCAGTACGTAATAGAGAACGAGAAAATGATAAAAGACTTTTTGAGTGGGTTGATGGACCATTAATAGAAGCCTTAACTGATGGACATATGTTTTTAGCTGATGAAATTTCTTTAGCTGATGACAGTGTCTTAGAACGTTTTAATTCTTTGTTAGGTGTGTCTTTTTTTTATTAAATAAACTAAAATTTTAATTATTAATATGTAATAATAGTTAAAACAATTTTATAATGTATAATTGATTTTTAGAACCGGAAAGAAAAATTTTACTGAGCGAAAAGATTGGAGATGATAATGAATCGGAATTAGTTGCTCATCCTGATTTTTGTTTTATTGGTACAATGAACCCCGGGGGTGATTATGGAAAAAAAGAAGTAAATTATTATACGTTTTTGTTTATTTGAATGTAATGTAAAAATTTTTGTTTAAAACTTGTTTTTTTAGTTATCACCAGCCCTTCGTAATCGTTTGACTGAAATTTGGTGTGAAAGTTGTACTGATGATGACGATCTTGTTGATATTATTAATCAAAACTTTTCAATGTTTCATGATCATAGTTTATATTTGAGTCAGGCCATGGTTGATTTTGTGAAATGGTTAAAGAAAACAGAATTTATCAGAAAGTAAGAAAATTTCAAATATTTAAAATCTTTGGAACCATTTGCTATAAATATTTCACATTATATAAATCATTATGATGATATAATGATATTATTTTAATAATTGTTTAATTTTTTAATTTGTTAAGCAGAGTTAATATTATTTTATTAAAAAATCGTTAATAATGTTACAATTATAATTTTATTTTTATTTTTTTCATAGTTATTTAAAGTTAAATATAAGCATCAGAGACTATTTAATTTGGGTCAAATTTATTGAATCAATGATGAACCAACTTCCTAGCGATGATATAAATTATAATAATTTACGTACATTCATCACATTATATTATGAAGGAGCACAAATGACATTTCTTGATAAGGCTACCAAGATCGATCCACTGTAAGTATTATTTTTAAATTGAATAAATAAAATATTTATAGTCATTTTTTTGTAGCTATGATCATGCCATTGAATGTGCTTTATCTGATTCTTTGAAAAAATATCTAAACTTAGAAACTATTGTATTAAATGATAAAGGTGAAATAATAATTGATAAATTGGTTGACTTATTTCCAAAAAAATGCAATACTAATTTTTTTGGATATGATGGGTATCACATATGTAGAGGTAATAATTGTGTACTTATTTATTTGTATATAATATGTATTCTTGACCATAAATATATTTATTTTATTAATTAAATTTAGGCGAGTTACCTGAAGAACTTGTGCCTGAATTTTCATTTGATGCCCCGAATACTAAAAAAAATATCATACGATTATTACGATGTATGCAGATAGAGAATCGAGCTATATTATTAGAAGGTAGTCCAGGCGTTGGAAAAACCAGTTTAGTTCAAGCCATCGCCAAAGTATCTGGTCATAAATTAACTCGTATAAATCTCTCAGAACAAACGGATGTCTCAGATTTATTTGGGGCAGATTTACCTACTGATGGTGGAGATGGTGGTAGTTTTGAATGGAGAGATGGCCCGTTTTTAAGAGCATTAAAAGAAGGAAATTGGATTTTATTGGATGAAGTATGATATATATGATTAAAATATTAAAAATTAATACATGTTACTAAATCATATTTTACAATTATTTACATATCTTTTTGATTTTAAATTTATACTAAAATTATATATTTTTTGTTAATTTTATCATTCATTAAATATTTTAAATTAAAAAAAAACAGCATGTACTAACTGTAATAGAAAGTAAAACTATTAAATATAAGTTATTAAAAACGTTTATTTATGTTTATTTTAACAGTTAAATTTAGCATCACAATCAGTACTTGAAGGACTGAATGCAGTTCTTGATCATAGAGGAGAATTATATATACCAGAACTTGGCCGAACCTTTATAATAGAATCTAAGAAAACAAGATTATTTGCTTGTCAAAATCCAATGAGTGAAGGTGGAGCCAGAAAAGGACTACCAAAATCATTTTTAAATAGATTTCTTCAAGTGATTTTAAATTTAATTAATTTGATGCATTAAATAAAAAAAGTATTAATTATTTATGATTGAATATAACTTAATTTTTTTTCAGGTTCATTTAAACGTATTAGATCATCATACTATTGTAAGCATATTAGAAAAAATTTATGGAACAAAACTAATGCATTCAGATTCGTTACAATTAGATGAAGTAGTTGAATTTACTTTGTCCCACTGTGACAAATATAAGACTGATATGAATTTAAGAGATATATTACGTTGGGTTGATGTAACAGTTAAACTGAAATGTGAAGTTTCAGAACATTTTTCATTAATATTTTCTGATCGTTCACCAAGTTTAAAGAAAATACATAACAAAGCAAGTTTATTTTATTTTGATTTCTTTATGCTTAGTCATTTATTAATAACATTATTATATAAATTGCTGTTTTATTTTTATTTAGCTATTCAGTGAATTTAATACCACATGTGAAGTTTTTAACCCCGTTTATGATTTCATAAAAATATTTCCATGTGCCACTATGTTCAACAGAATCATAATACCACGTAAACGCGCTGTTAGCATGCCAATAGATCAAAGCAATTATAAACTGATTTTGAAATCCCATACTCACACATTAAATTCTTTAGCTGTGTGTATGAGAATGAATTGGATGCCAATTTTGGTAATATAACATTTTACATTATGTCTATAGTAGATATTTAGAAATTTTGGGTACAAATTTTTATGTTTAGTAAATTTATAAAATTTCAGCTATTACATTTGTTAATACAAAATAAAATTTGTTTTTGAAATAATTATTATTTAATACTAGGTATGTGTGATTAATTATATATTGTAAAATACAGATTCATTTTTCTGTTTGTAGACAACTTTTTTTAATAAAAAATAAAACTTATTAATACCAAGTCAAAAATTAAACTGTAAATACTCCATTAATTATTTTGTTTACATTGTTTCATACTGTTTTCTAACAATTTTTTCATGTAGTCCATAAAATAAGATGTTGAAAGCATGTATAATTTTAATCTAACTGTAATAAGACTAACTAAATGTATAATTTTTCATATATCTATGAATATGCATTATTATTATATCAAATAAGTTATATTACCAAATTTCCAATAAAAATGTTCAATACGTTTTCACAAAAAAAATTTTCTTTGGAAAAATATTATTTATAACCAGATACTTTAATTTAAATTTTACAAGTTTTTTTTTTTTTGTAATGTATGTTGTATTAATTAACCTGTAACACAATATAACAAATAATATAAAATTATCATAAATCTAATATCATTATAAATTCTAGAAAAAACAGCATATATTACTATTTCACATTGAAATAACATTAAGTTCAACATTTATCAAGATGTTGTGATTATAATTGTTTTTTTACTTAATATTAAAATTTAACATACATCCATCGAGCTTTTCTGTTTAAAAGAATACCATAATAATGAATTATAAATATTTTTTATTATATGGTTTTAGGTGGGTGTTGGTTGTGGCAAAACTTCTATAGTTAAAACATTTGCTCAATTGTGTGGACATGAATTACGTATATTACCTGTAAATTCAGCTATGGATACAATAGAAATATTAGGTGGATTTGAACAAGTATGTATATTAACAAATTTATATTATTTATGGTTACTAAAATATATTTTTAAGGCTGATTTTAATAGACACCTCGAAGAATATGCAAGAAAAATAGAAAGTGCCATTTATTTTGAAGTTGGTCAACAGCTTCTTAATAAACAAAATGATAAGATTTCATTATTAACATTATGGAATGAATATAAAAAAATGACTGGTAAATTTCACAAATATCTATTTTAATATATAATCATTTTTTTTTTTTTTTTTTTTTTTATTTTGGATATTATTTTAATAATGTTTTCAGATGTTATAAATAATACAATGACCACTATGGCTTCAGAAATGACCTTATTTAAAAAGAGAATTGTTAAATTAATTGAAATTTCAAATAAACTAGAACATTTTGAGATGTCATATTCACTTCAAGCTCTTAGTGAACGTATTTGCTCTATTGGAAGTTTAAATTCAGGAGGAAAATTTGAGTGGATTGATAGTGTTTTAGTAAAGGTTATTATATTTTATACTCATTATTGTTAAATCTTATTAACTTATCATCTCATATATTATTGCAGTGTCTAATTGATGGTAATTGGTTATTGATTGATAATGTAAATTTATGCAGTCCAGCTGTATTAGACCGTTTAAACGGATTATTAGAACCAAATGGCGTTTTAGAAATAGGTGAAAAGGGTATAGATTCTGAAGGTAAAATAACAACTATAAAACCTCATAAAGATTTCAGACTTTTCTTGGCTATGGATCCAAAGCACGGAAGTATTTCTAGGTAAAAAGTTAATATATATTGTTTTTGAAAATATTTCTAAGATTATATTTTTTAGAGCTATGAAAAATCGAGGAGTTGAAATTTACATGAGTCCATTGGATGAAATAAATAATCATGATATTCATTCTATGCTTGAATTTCAAGGCATTCATGATAAAAAGATCAGGCATATACTAATAGAATTTCACAATGTTATTAAAGATCTGGCTATTGGAATTAATTTTAGTATTAATCATCTAATCCGCACTGCATATTTGGTGTCACAAAACTTAAAACAAGGTCGGTTAGTTCCGCAAACCATTCGAGAAATGTGTATTGACACCTATGTCCGTTGTTTGAATGATAATTTAAAACAAAATGCCATATCAGAAATTGATCGTCTTTTAGAAGAACACCCAAACATTTCAAATGAATTTATGTGTCCTAGTCTTAATACACTAGATATTTTGCAATCTTCAAGCTTATGTTATATAAAACAAGAATGTAGTATTATAGAGCAGTATGAAAATCTGGAAAATATTAATCTAGAAGATTTATTATTGTGTTATTTTGGTCGATCATCGAAATCAGATATTACTATGAGAAGTAAATGGTTATCATTACATTTGGATTCTGATATTGAAGCTATCAAAAATTTTATTAAACAACCTCCAGAATTGGAATTTGATATGTTAAATTTTGTTGTAAAATCTTCAGATTATGTTGATATCAATGACTTACCATATGACTTTAGATATTTACCTAATACTTACTATAACAATGGAAACCCTATTTGTGATTCAACTCCATATGCCGAAAACAAAATACATTTGATGTTAGATCATGCATTAAATCGAGCTTTGGATAAAAATTTTGCAACTAAAAAAATGAACGAAAAAAGTAAACTTACATAACTAAGCTTTAAATTTTTTAATATTATAATATTTTATTTAATTATTTTAGATATAATGATAGCAGATGGTGGAATGCTTCATGATTATGCTATCCTATCCATTGCTTTTGAAGATTTTCTTGATTATTTCATGGGTGAAAAATCATTAACCATAGATGAGTTCAATTGTTTACTATTAAAAGAAATGATAATTTGGACTCGAACAATTGAAAAAATTCTTTATGAAAAATTAGATAAAGAAAGTGAATATGTTTCTGTACTAATTTACTGCTATTTTTATGTAATCGTAAAACATTTTGTGCCAATGATGCAGGACGTGACTGGAAGAGAGGAGAGGTAATATAATTTTAAATACCAAATTATTTTTCATTAATATTTTTTTATATTTTTGAATTAGAATTCCATATTTTGAAAGATTAAAAACCATGAGAAATCAAGTTTTGAAAAATTATCTTACTCCTAATCGATGTGAACAATTTATCCATTCATTTAGAAGAAATTTGAAGATACCATCATATAATTGTTGTAAAATTCATGGTGATGCAAATATTAAAGCATATAGGTTAGTTAAGTTAATTAAGTTTTGATATTATATTAAATAATAAATATAAAATAATCAAATTAATTTTTATCTAATCTAATCTCTGAAACATATGCAATTAAGGGGCAAGAATAACACTAAGATTAAAGTGTAGTATATTAGATGATTATAATGAACTCAGTCACTGCAATGATTCAATTTATTGCTCACAGTAAAAATCAGTTGTTTCATGCTTGAAACATAGATACAACTTGATAAAATTCTTTCTATCTTCTGAATTATTGACCGATTTCATCATCTGGTTTCCAACTAGAACGCACTATACTAGAATTTTAGTCCATTCATGTCTCTTATTAGAAAATGTAGTTCATTTATGTCAATGTGTACAAATAGTTTTAAATCATAAAAAATATATTATGCTCTTTAAAATATTTATAACAGATCTAATTGATAGTAAATTACATTATGTGTTTTTTTTTTTTATAATTTACAGTCTAAACATTGATTTTGTTACATCAATCAAGTCATATAATATACTAAGTGTAGTTAGTTGTGAAATTAAAAAATTAAGATCCTATTTGCTTATGGTGAAATACAACAGATGTGAAAGTGTAACTGATGATAATGAAGGTAATACTTATCAAATTATACGTGCTATCATTAATTATCGTTTTTTTTAAAAAAAATATTATTTTAAAAACAATTTTAGAACTTGAAAAAACTTATATGAATGACATGGAATTCAACCTTATTCCATTGTGGGAATATGTAATTGAAAGGAATTTCTTTATTCGTATAAATTATAGTTTTACTAAGAATCCAATATATAATAAATATAAATCTACAAAATTATTGTTACAATATGTTCCAACTGTATCACCATATTATCACAACTCCTTAAACAATGATAACGAATTCTCAGTAGAATTTCTATTGGAAGGATTAAAACATTCTATGAATTCTGTTGCTGTAGAAAATCCAAAATCATTTTTAGAATGGTCATCTAAGAATATTGAAATACAAAATTCTGATGAAATAATCAACAAAGTATTTATTAATGATATAAATTAATTATCAATAAATTTAAATTTTATATTTTTTATTTAGGAAATGCTGTATTCATTTGAACAACCGCTGTTCACAGTTTTTATTACTCATATTCTACTAAAGGAAACTGAATCATTTTATACATTTTCCCCTACACCTATTAGGTTTATTCAAAAAAGCAGTCATAATTTAAAATGCATTAAAAGTTTTATATGGAACTTCTCAGAGTGGAATTCAGATAATCAGTTAGTTTTCTATACATACATTTATTATTATTTGTACTTAACTATATTACTTGTTTGGTAGATTTGAAAATATTGAAACATTATTGAAGCTTGTGAAATTAATCTTCAGTCCTTTGTTACCAAATGACTCATCTTTGAAACAACTTCACTTAAAGAGAGATGATGAAGCAATTAAAAGTTCTGTTGCTGCCAAAGTTAACTACAGTGAAAATATGGTCAAAGTTATTTTTGATACTGCACAAGAAATAGCAAACATTAAAAGATATTTAGATTTGCACAAAAATGAAGTACATTCTACAGATTTTGATCGTACTATATTTAAAGAAATACAATTCAGTGCCGGTCGCTTATGGGTACTATCAGGAATGTGCTTACTTGAAATATTTTCAGCAATTAGCTCTGTTGATCCATTGCAAAAAACAAAAATACGTATTGAATGTTCTGAGGCAGAGGTATTTTAATTATTATTTATTTAAATTATTATAATTTATTAGTTGATACATTTTTATTCTTAGAAAAAGAAATTAAATAGTAGATTATGTGCTGAACGATTATTTTGCAAAGCAAATGGTGTATCAAAAATATTCCCATTTAAAAACTACTATGATGAAAGACTTAAAATGTTAAACAGAAAACACAAAAATGTCGGTTATAGACCAGATCCTCCAATGTATAATTTTATTTTAAAGGCAAGTTATTTTTTATTATTACACAAATTTTAGTATTAACAATTGATTTTTAGGAGGTAATTCGTTTTTCAAAAATGTATGGTTTGGAAAGTAACACCTATAACATGATTGATTCAAACAATAAGACAGACCATGAAGCTCTTGTGAATGAAATGGATAACTGGCTAAATTCAGTCTCCAATTTTCACGATGATTTAAATAAACATTACGCAGCATATCCTGATATTCTTTCAGGAATACTTCTTTCCATTAATCAAGTATTAATTTAAATTATTAATTGTTATTTGTTCAATGTTTAATTGTTATAAAAAAAATTTTTAAGATGAGATATGGAATGAGAATGTTGAAAAATCATTATAAATGGGCAATCAACAAAAACGAAAATATTTCCTGTAATGAAGTTGAGTTATTAAAATTATTTGGTAAATATCCTCGATTTTGTCCTAACATTATACAAATGACGAGCATGGATAATGAGGTTTCAATGAATATCAGCGATAAATTCAGGTATTACTTAAAATTTTTTTTTAATTTTAGATATTAAGTCAAGTGAATAACATATACATTGATCCTACTCGGATGATGAGTTGGTTGTAAATCTATATTGATATTTATTTAATTTTTTACTAAGCACTAAAAGATCTAAGAATTATTATCAGTTGAATAAGTTTACAATTTTAAAAATTATAACAATTATTTGTTTTATTTAAAAAAAAAAATATTTGTTGTATCATTGTATTCAAACTTAAACTATTTAATCTTTAATATATATTAGTTATGAATGTTTAACCTTGTGAGATAAAGTATTACTTTTTTAAAATTATCCCTACTGTTGCTCAGGCTTGTTCTTTTATTACAACGGTTTTAGTTACCTTCAAACTTTTAAAAATAATTTGACTATTCTCACTTCTATTTTAACTTAGACTATATTGTATTTGTATTCTTTATTTTATCACCATTATTTTAATACACATTTTTTTCATTAGCCTTGTCCACTTTTATATTTAAATACAATTGTCATGTAACTGTTTAAGGTGGTACAAATTATGTTTGGAAGAATTAAATAATATGTTATATTTGAGTGGTCAAGCAGATGGATCAATCAGTGGTCAATATATTAGTACAATAGAATATATTCTTGAAAAATTTATAAATAATTGGAAGCAACTTCAAGAAGAAGAAGAAAATAAAAAACGCGAAGAAGACAGTATATACAAACAAAAGTCAATGTGTGAAACAATACCAATTGAAATTGAACTTGCTCAAGGAGTGGCTCGTCAATTCCCAATTACTAAACATTCTGATTTTAATGATATAGAAGGTCCTCAAACACTTGATCATGATATTTTACAGAATACAGAAACTATAGAAGTCTATAATCTTAACGATAAAGATATTAATGATATTTGTCGATTACATTCAGAATTAATACGACCAGCTGCTTTAGCTCATTGGTTACCTAAATCTTCTACTTCAATTCATCTCACTGATGCTAAAACAAGATTATATTCTTCATTTTCTGATAGATTTTGTATGTTTGGAAAACTTCTAATGTCTAAATTTATGTATTTGGATCATTCAATGGATATAAAAATGATGCCATGGCTTTTAGTGGCTACCAATGTAGCAAATAATCCAAAAAAACTTGATAACAAAGGTTATTATGATTTTTATCGAGATTCTAATATTGACTGTGCCAAAAAAACATATGAAGCCCTTAAAAGTGTTGAAAATCACCTTATCACATTATTATGTGAATGGCCTGATCATCCAACTTTACAAACAGTAAGTTTTTCTTTTTGCATAAGAAAAACAATAAGTTTTTTTTTTCACTTATATTAAATAATACTTATAAATTTAATAGGCAATGAAAATAGTAGAAAGAATAATGAACTTTGATTGGTCAAGTCCTGCTAGCCGTTTTTTGATCGGTTTTGAACTTTTATTATCTAAGCTTCATGAATGGGAAGAAATTACTCACCATGGTATGAGTGTACGAAGTATAATATTAATCATAACTCGTTATATTCAAGAATATCGTAATCTAGAGTTAAGTTCTTGGAAGGATTGTTTAAAAACATCACTAAAAAAGTAAGAGTGAAAAAGCTTTATGAAAGGTATTATTTTTAACCTCTAAATTAACTTTAATTTTAGGGTACAAAATGATTCATCTAAATGGTGGTTTCATTTGTATTCAATTTTTCAAGATTACCTTCACAAACAAGAAACTTTTCAGCAACTTGTTACAGCTTTACAAAAGTTTATGGAAAGCTCTTCATTAGGTCAATATTTGGCAAGACTAGAATTGCTTTATACGTTTCATTGTGATGTAGTTTGCAAGGAAAAATCAGCAACCCAAACTGAATTATGTAATGCTTCTTGGAATCTTTATAAGTATTATTCTCAATTTAAAGACTGTATAAATCTTCATATTGAAACATTAAGTAAGGATACTAAAAAGAAATTAGCAGATTTCATAAAAATAGTTAAATGGAATGATATTAATTATTGGTCAGTTAAAGAAACTGTAACAAAAGTACAACAAACATTACATAAATACACTCGAGAGTATGAGGTAATATTAAAATTAATAGACCCAACTGTACAAATATTTAAGACTATCTTAAATAATTTAAGTTAATCAATTTTTAGGAAATTTTAAATAATTCTGCATCATTTGCTATGACAATCAAATCATCATCCATAATAGATAATAAGGTTGATCCTTATATTTTACCTACTCTTGAACTCAATAAATATTTGCGAAACTGTGAAGTATTTTTGGTAAGTATATACATTATGAAATTAGTTTAATATTAATGCACTTAATTTATAATTTCTTTTTTAGAACATTGATTCAACAAATGCGAATATTAATGTTCTTAGAAACATTAATAAATATTCTAAAAAGTTACTTAAATTGTCTTTTAAAATAATGATTAAATGTTCTTATACTTCGTATATAACTGATTTGAATGACTTTATTAATGGTATTATGGAATCAGCACACGAATTACGTGACATAAAAATTGATTCGGATCTTTCAAAAGAAAAGCAAAAATCCCAAGCCAAGCAAATATTACAACGAAAACGGAAAGCATTATCTGACCTATTCAAAGTTTTAAATCGTATTGGCTTGTCTTATAAAGCTGGTTTAATAGGATGTGAAAAAATGGATTCTTCTATTGAATTTGCTCGTTTACCACCAATAGATATAAATGCAGCACTTCAATTCTTAATTCCTGAGTAAGCATAAAGTTAATAGTTTTGTTGTATTTTAGTGAATAAACCAATGATAAAAAACTAATAAATTTCCAATCATTGTTCTACTCTTTTTTTTAGATGTATTGATGATAATCTACGCTGCGCTTGGTCTGATTGTGAATCATATTTCTTAAAATCCGTTTCCCAAACTTCTGCTCTAAATGTTGCTTCTGAAACACCAAAATTAGGTCAACAAGAAATGAATCGTATTAAAGGTTTTGTGAATGACCTCAAGGTAAATAACTTTTACTTTTAACTGTTATCAGGCCTAACGTTATAATTTTTTCAGAATGTGACATGGAATTGTAAAAAAAATTTGGCCTCAAATATAGATTCTCTAGTAAAGTTCCGCTGTATGATGAACTTATCTCAAAAAATTACTGATTCTAATGATGTTATACTCGATCCATCACCAGAATTACTGGTAATATTTATTCAAATTTAGTTGATGAACAATTTTAATCAATACATTTTTATTTAAATATTATTTTTAAATTACATAATTTTTTTTTATTATTATTACTAGTATTAATTATGTGTAATATACAATTAATAAAATTTTCAATTAAATTAACCAATGTTTATTTTACAGCTACCCATCAATTACATTGCTAACAGCTTAAATTTTTTACACCAACTTAAAGTTGCAATTCAAGACTGTGATGAAAATATAGATTTCACATCAAATGATTCTGTTACATCATTATTAAATTCAAATACACAACATACTTCTTTTAATGACAAAGAACCTAAACCATCTGAAACAGTTAATACAAATCTCGATGATTTTATAAATGAAGGTTTATCTGAACTTAATTTTATAATCGATAAAGATTCAACACGTGCTATGAAGTTATGTAATGTAAATTTCTTACTTCGTTCAAACTACATTAAATCAGTTTTTACGAGTAATGTTTTTATGGAATATATTTCCAAGTCCAACGAAAAAACAAGGATATTAAGTAATGATGATAATTTTAACCCTGAAAATAGGTTCATGGACCAATTTGTTGCACCTTATGTTAATGAACCTAATTTTAAAGAAATTAATAATTTGATAAATCAAATTCTTAAATCCGTTGAAAAACTTTACCAAAAAAATTCAGACCCTGAAAACGATAATGAAAATGATAAACTGTTAAAACGTCTTATCATTCAACCATTGTCTTCCGACTTAGAAGATTGCAATTTGGCCAATATTACTAAGAGACTTGAAAATGTGCTTAAGTCATTAATAGGCAATCATGTATTAAGATGTTGTCATCCGCTTTTAGAACAATATGCATTACTAGTACAATATTTAATCACTCAACAAACTATGGTTTACCGAGCTTTATCAAAATTTAACTATTTACTATCTACTTTATTTACTGATCTTGCTTCAAATGTAAGTTACTGAAATTATATTAAATTTATTTTCAAGAAATTAATTAATATTTTTACTTTAGGGATTTTGTATACCTGATGAGTTGTTGGAAGGTGAAGATGGTACACAGAATGATGGGAAAAGTGGTATGGGTTTAACTGAAGGAGAAGGAACTAAAGATGTATCAGACCAAATAGAAAGTCAGGATCAACTAGAAGATGCCAAAAAAGATTATTCTGATCAACCAGAACAAGACAAGGATCTTAAGGTAAAAAATAAACACAATTAATTTAAAAAATTATAATATTCAAATAAAATTATTGTTTATTATTTAGGAAGAAGAAAAAGGTATTGAAATGTCTGATGATTTTGATGGTAAATTACATGATATGGATAAAGATGAGAATGAAAATTCAGATAGTAATGATAATGATGATGATGATCAAGATAAAGAGATGGGAGAGACTGGAGATGGTGCAGAAACATTAGATGAAAAGTTATGGGGTAGTGATACTGAAGATGAAAATGGTGATGAACAGGAAAATCAAGATTTAAAGGAAGAAGATGGTCAAGGTGGAGATTTAACTGGAGAAAAAGAATTTGGTGCTAAGAGTGATAAAGAAAACGCTGAAGAACAAAATGATAAAGATGAAATTGACCAGAAAAATAAAAATAAAGATATAAATGAATTAGATGAAAATGGAGAAGAAGCTGGTGAAGATCATTCAGATTTCCATCATGGAGATTTACAACCACCACCAGAGCCAGAACCCATGGATTTACCTAATGATCTTCAACTGGACGAAGGTGAAATGAATGACAATGATGAAGGAGAAGATAATCCATTTGATATAGATGCTATGAAAGAAAATATGGAAAATGTAGAAAACAATGATGATGAATATAATGATATTCCAAAAGAAGACCAAAATAATTTAGAAGATACAAGTGATGAAGAAAATGATGATGGAAACAAAATTGATGAGACAAAAGATGATGGTAATGAAGAATCAGATGAACAAAGCAATGAAGATATTATTAATAATGATGGTGGTAAAAAAGATGAAAATAAAACTGGAGAAGAACCTAAAGAAGAAGACACAAAAAAAGATATTGAAGAAGCTAAGCCTTCAGAAGATGAACCTAGTCAAATAGAAACCCAACCTTCAAATCATAATGATGGTGGTTCTAAAGATCAAGTTTGTGAAAATACAGATAGAGAAGATAAAAATGAAAAACTTGAAGAAAACAAAGAGGAAGCTACAGGTCCTGAACAACAGGGTGTTGGTAGATCTCAAAGAGAAAGTAAAGAAACTAAAGAAGGGCATAGTGTTAATGAAGATAAAGGCGCTCAAAGTGAAGATCCAGGAACTAGAGATAAAAAAAGAAGAATGAAACCGGGTGAGAAGGATGTGGATAGATCATTAGGTAAGAAAATTGTTTATCTTTCTATATACGTGTTGATGAATTTTTAATTCGCGACCAATCATACTTTACGAATATAATAATAATCTAGACTAAGCTTTTATTTATTAAGAAAAATTATTCAAACAAAATTAAATAACTATTTAAACATATTTTTGTTCTTAGTTAACTTTTAGATATCGATTTAAATTGTTGTTAATTTTTTTTAAGCTGAGAGTAATGGATCGATGAAAAAAAGATTAAAAACCACAGACACTCAAGATAAAAAGGTTGAAGATGACAATGAAAATGGTGCTAATGAAAATGAAAATATTGATAAAAAAAAAGGAGACTTGTTTAAACATGTTAAAAATTCCAAGGAAGGAGATACAGAGACATTAGATGCCGCAACAAATGTTAGTACATTTTATTGATTCTTTTAGTATTCGGTAAACACATTTTATTTTATCTTTAGGAACAACTAGAAAAAAGGCCTTTACCTAATAATGATGATCAAATGGGTGAGGACTTAAAAGAAGATGAAGTGATGGAAATTGAAGAAGAAATTAACGAAAATGAAACTAATAATGGTGAAGAAGTTTTGCCAGAAAAATTTAAACCAAGAAAACAAAATAATCAATTTTTGATGAATGATTTTGATAATTTTGAAGAATACGAGAATAAAATAGAAGAACAAATTAACGTAGATGGTGAAATTGTTTTGACTTCTACTGTCGAACGTGGCATGGACACAATGTACCATACTGTTGAATTAAATGAAGGCGATGATAAATATCCTATTGATGTTAAAAATCAGAAGGAGCTTATACAAGATCAAATGGCTAAATGGTTTGATGTATGTTTCTATAAATATTTTTAAATATAATTTTGTTTATTTTTATTTATAATTTATTTTTTAGAATGGTAATGAAGAATTTCAGAAAGATGAAATTTGGAATCAATGTATGAACACAACATCGAATTTAGCTCAGGAGTTAAGTGAACAATTACGACTGGTGTTAGAGCCAAGTAAAGCATCTAGACTGCAAGGAGATTTCAGAACTGGACGTCGAATAAATATGAGACGTGTTATTCCTTATATTGCTAGCCAATTTAAAAAAGATAAAATTTGGCTTAGAAGAACTCGACCATCAAAACGTCAGTACCAAATTATTATGGCAGTCGATAATTCAAGTAGCATGATGGATAGTCATGCTAAAGTTGTAAGTTGAAAATCAAAACTTAAATTTAACTTTATTAATAAACCTATTTTTTTTTTTTTACTTTGGAACTAAATTTAATTTTTAATTTTTTTTTATCTTATAAAAATATTTACTTATTCATTTTTAAATTATTTGCGAACTTAGGTATTTTTAGTTTTATATTTTTGGATTAAAGATGACACTTGATGTATAATATAAATATATATTATTTTAAAACCAATATAATTCAATATTAAATATATATTATGCACAATGATTTTGATATCTCATTACTATTAAATTTAATCATATTGGTTGTAATCAGGGCTCGGGACTTATAGCACTTAAAATCATTAAAACAAGCGCTTAAAACATCATTATAAGCAGTAAAATAAGATTTAAAATATTTTAAATTAAGCAAAAATATTTATTAAAAAAAAAAAAAAACTATAAAATTCTAACTAAAAAATTAAATTAAATGTAAACTGTTCTCTTTGTTCTTAATCATTCTGACGTTTGACACTCAGTTCTATTTTCAGCGTTGGAACATCTTTGTTGTGACGAACTACGTGACAATGTAGATAAGATAAGAACTATTTCTAATTTTAATTCTATTGAAAACGACTTTACAGGAGAAAACTATAAAAATGTATATAAAAAAAACTGGTCAAATAAGCAAAAATAATCAGAAACACTGAAAATAAGCATTTTTTTGAAAAATTGCTGAAAAAATAAAAAAAAAGCACTTTCAAATTTCATAATTGTACGTGTTATAATTTGACATACACTTCTATAGCACTCTGCTACATTTTAAATTAATCCATAAAATAAGCAAATGCTTTAAGTCCCGATCCCTGGTTTTAATATATATAAATTATAAAATTAAAAATTATTATTTAGTTATTAAATAAATTTGATTCAAACTTTTCAAATTTTTAGAAATATAAATACAAATTTGTCCAACCATCAATACTAGAATAATAATCTTATTTTTAGTTGGCCTTTGAATCTCTGGCACTTGTAAGTAAAGCACTTACATTAGTTGAAGCTGGTGAATTGGGAGTTATGAGTTTTGGTCAACAAGCCAGAATTGTTCATCCACTAGGTGAACCTTTTACTGACAAAACTGGTGTTAGACTAACGTATGACTTTACCTTTGATGAACAAAAGACCAATGTTGGTGAACTAATTGAATTGGCTACAGCAGTATTTGAAGACCGGGGTCGACTAGATTCTGGTGATCGACCAGCTCAATTATTGGTTATAATGAGTGATGGACGCGGTATAAAAAGTGAAGGACCTGACGTTGTGAAAAATGCTATCAGAACTGCAAAACTTAATGGAATATTTATTGTATTTATTGTTATTGACAATCCTGTATCAAAGGTAAACATTAAACACCAAATTTATTTACATATTCGATAGGTCAATTTTTATTTACCTAACCTACATTTTTTTTTTTTTTTTTTTTTAGGAATCTATTTTAGATATTAAAGTGCCAATTTTTGAAAATAATTCAGTTCGTATTGAATCATACATGGACAATTTTCCATTTCCATTCTATGTTATTTTAAGAGATGTAGATAAATTGCCTGGTGTTTTAAGTGATGCTCTCAGAGAGTGGTTTGAACTCGTTACTATGTAATAGTTTACATTAGTATATTAAGTAAAATAAAACATAGATACATAGTACATTCAAAATATAATTATAAATTTTATCAATAAATAAATTATTTAAAATTATAAGCACAATCAATCTTTATTGTTTATTTTCAAATAATATTTTGTATTTATTTTTATATTAATGATTTTAAAATATAAAAAACTTAATTTTTACACTTTTTATCATTTACTGTTGTAATTCATATAATTTAATCTTACTACTAAAATTACTTTAATATAATTAGAGCTTAATGATTATACTATGCCAAATTGTTTTTAAATGTTTTCATGTAAATTGAATTTAGTAATATAATTAGTATTTTTATCTTGCAATATTTAAGGGATATTATTTAATGTTTATGTGTATATAAGCTGTTCTGAATTAATATTTGTTTTTAAACTACATAAATTAGAACTACATTAAGAATTACATTAATTAGAACTATTCGAAAATCTCTGGTCCTTAGTGTTAGCGTGAAGATTCTAGGGCTAATATCCCTGAAGTCCTTCACCATGTGGATTATTAATTCATATATCGCGAAACCAGTCCCTAATCTATGTCCTTTTCCAATATTTACATTAATTATAGTTGTTTGAGATATTTTACTAGATCCTGCATCTTCCCATCTCACTTCTTGCAGGGCAATACATCTGATTTTATACTTCTCTACTACTCTTACTAAATTCAATGCTGCTCCTTGTTTAAATAAAGTTCGTAAATTCCAAGTACCAAAAAATAAATCCAATTTCCAGTTTCCAGTCTTTTTTCCAAATAATCTATCTCGAGGCTTGGTGTTAGAATTCTGAACGAAAATTATTTTATTAGGCAGGGTTGTTAACCCTGCGCTAAATCCCCAACCTGGAGGACCAGGCTACCCCAACCACTTAAGGTCAGACTAGGGCTATTATAGTGTACTTATTAAGATACATTGGGCGATGGGTGCGCCACTTTCCCTACGCCGGAAGCTGCCACTGCCTGTATATATAAATTCTATGAAAGTAGAAAATCTGTCATTTTTGTTTGTTTTTGTTCAGTATTAGAAGTATTTTTAATAAAAGTACCTAAATTATTAAATGTAGAAAAAATGTCAAAAACTCCTGACTGTTGTTAGATGTATCATTAAAGTTCATGAATATAAGTCCGTATAACTATATAACACCGTTATTGGTCACAAGCTGAACTATAATTAAATATCAAAGTTATTACACCGTTGTGTGTGGTTCCACGACATTTGATCCGGTAAATAATATCCCGCGACAAATGTCAGTTTAATCTACAAAATTGTTATTATTATCTAATCGGAGTCGAAGATAATGATGGCTGCACTACTCAGTTATAGAATAAATTAAATATACTTAAATGTATTTAAAAATTAAAATTTTAAATTTAATTAATCTATGTATTTAATACATATGTATCTAATATAGTTAATCTATGGGCATAGTTACTTTGCGTTTGTAGCAATTAGTATTACACCGTGATTACGCCCGTATGTGTGACTGTTTGCGTTTGTAATAGTTTCATTTTACAAGTAAATCCAAACATTATAGCGATTAAAAAAAAAAAAAAATTGTGATGAACATCGTTTTTTTAATAATTCTTGGATTGATTTATACTTTTTCGTCGAAAACAAAGGTAAGCCATTATTTTGTCAAAAAATTAAATGTTTTCTTAAAAGCAATTTTTCCCAGTAACATTCGTATTTTTTACATTCATATTTCTATATAAAATAATCAAATATAATGGCAATAAAATTATTAGTGTATATCATATGTAAACATTTTTTTTTTAATTTGGCCCTTGATAAACATTTGAGAAAAAAATATGGCCTGCGTGGTTCAAAAGATTGCCGACCCCTGATTTAATGATTGTATAAAAACATTACATTTTTGTGTAGAATAATTTTGCTTATTACACACACGGGAGGGGGGTTCTCGTGTTGTGCTTAAAGCCGCGTACACACTAGAGCACGCATAGACCGAGCATGTGTGCTCATGTTGTGTGTTGTGTGTGCTCAGTATGAACATTACCACCCACAACAAGCTTGTATGCGATAAATCTGCGCTCCGAATATTCAGTTGTGTGGTGAACGTATACAGTGTACCTACGTTGTGTTTCATACATTGTGTTTGAAATTTAAACTTTAATAATAATTATTTAATTTTTACTGTCACTCAAGTGACTTTTTCACGCCGAAAAGAACCCAACAAACTTAGGATTTTTTTTTTTAATATCTTCGACTTTCCTTCTTAAATTTTTTGAGATAATTTTCCACGCTTCTTTTTTTTTTTTTGTTTTAGAAAAATAATAATTATTTTTTTGGGTTCCATAGCACTGGGTGTTGTTGGTAATGTTGTATGAAATCTAGACACAATTCATTACTCCATTCCATTTCGAAAAATTTAAATGAAAATGAATAATCATACACTAAACTTGTATAATCGTGCGCGCGATTGCAACAATACTGAGCATACTGCCGTCCATACTTAGCAGTAAATATGATGATTAGCACGACGCACAACGAACGCGAACCCCGGTCGACCCGGCTCGCGTTCGCTGTGCTTCAAAAACGCTCGTGCGTGCTCGATATACCGTCCTCATTAAGCAAATTTGAACGCACAATATGAGCACATATGCTCAGTCTGTGCGTGCTCTAGCGTGTACGCGGCTTTAGATTTTAACACTCACATGGTATATCGGGATAGATAACTAGACAATTTATATAATATTTACAATATAGCATAAATTATTTTTTTCTTTACAAAGATGCTTTTTTCTTATACATATATAAAAAGTTATTTATAATAAAAATGAGTTACTCATTAATAAGTGTAATTTATTAATTAAATTTTTTTGTTTCTTAAAATCATAATAGTACCTACTTAATTTTGTTAATAGTTATCAAATAAAAAAAAAATTTGTTATCAAATTTATGAAGATATTTTTTTTTTTGTTCCGTTTTGACTAGAAAAATATGTGGTCACCGTATTAATACGGGGAAAAAAAATTTGCAGAAGACAGCAAAAGTAATTATGAATGTTGTCATTCAAGTGGATATAAAAAGAAGGAAAAAAAAAAAATCGAAACACCATAAATAATAAATAGGCATGCGTAAAATGAACGATGCATTATTGTATCACTCCTTCCTATTCCAATCATTATAATACTTGATAAAAACCGTTGTAACATGATAAAAAAAAAAATCACTGAACAGCTTGTGTACAATGAATGGTATTATTCATTCGTCAAATAGGATTTACAGTTTTACTTTTTAGGATTTTTACTATAATATATTCGTTAAATATCAAACAATGGTGGTCGTTGATTATTCGATTAACGGTCTTTACCAGCGTGATGATTATGAGCTTAGTGATGAACAAAGACGACAGCATCTACAATTACTTAAAGATGATGCCGCTATCGATATGGCTGTAAGTAACTTTTGCCCACGATTGCGTCGAGCCTTGGGTTTTCTCTCTCGTCATAAAGTTGGTGAGTTGGTCTACTGTCACTACTTCTGTCAAAAATTCTTAATTTTTTTGTCTGTTTACATTTTACCTTAAAGGTCCATTACAACAACGTGTCTATTTATCCGATTTTCAAAGTTCCTCTACACTTTCTTCACTACCAATAATTGACTCAAGTTCAAGTACGCAGCCTGATCCGCGTAATGACAGGTTTATCCTTTCCTTACCGTATTTGAGTGAAGAACTGCCAACAGCATACGGCCATTATAATATGGTACGTTGGTCAATAATAGCACAATGTAGCCATCCAGACAGAGCACCTGAAGTTATTTTACTTGGAATGGAAAATTCATTTCCAGAACAATCAGAAGTCACAATGCGTCGATTACAGCGACCTCAACACCTCCAACGTCGTCAGAATCAAAGTAATCAAATTATTCAAGAACATTTTTGGCAACAGTATGTGACCAGTGATATATTTTACATACCATGTTTAACAAAATGGTACAAAATGAGCAATGATAATTCTTCTTTATTGCAATATTGTGTACTAGCAGATCAGTTGTATGAATGTTATGCCAATTTTCAGGTAGAATAAATCATTTTTTTTCTAATTCATTAATAAACTCTTAAACAATTTTTATTAATTATTTATCTAGCTTTACAAACTTAAAATGTCATTAAAATCAACACCGTCAATGATGCAACCTCTACCACAATTGGTTCAAGCTTTTACTCAATATAAACAGTTAATCAAATGGTCCAAATCAACCGTGGTAGATGTAGATACTCTAACAACTAATATCAAGGTTGAACTATATACTAATTTGGAGGGTGGTACCATTACAAAAGATTATGATGATCGGCGTAATCAAGTAACTTCATGTTTAGTGCATATACGCGCAATAATCAGTATTGTTTCATCTGAGCCAACAGCGTCAGCTTTATCAATAACCTCTGATAATGATGAAAATAAATTATTACTACACCTAGCTTCAGTAACTACAACTTTTCCATCTAGTGGATCTTTTAATAAGAAATCAACTTCACCAAATAATACCAATGGTAGTTTAAATAAAAAATATGTTGTAAGAATCCTTAACCCGAAATTGAGCCGTAACACTCATCAAGGAGCCATGATGATGATGATGTTAGACGCTACAACAGAGCAATGTTTAGACACATTAATGATTGATTTTGGTAAGAAAATATTAAATTTATAATTGATAAATAGAAGATTTCTTCAGCATAAAAAAAAAAAACAAACAATAAATTATAATTAATATTTTACCTATAGAACCTATATAATAATTATAACTTTTATACAGTAATATATAGAATTTTAAATTGTATATGTATCAATAGTAAAGAGTTTCAAATACAACTATCCTTCTTGGTTTAATAGTAATTTATGTACATTAATAAAATAAAAAATGCATAGCACACAGAATTTTTCATCGGGGTAGTATTTAAGGGTTGATTTGGGGTGGCTATAGTTCTTCTGAAATATTATTTATGAATGATAAATAAATACTGTAAAATTATTTATATTATTTAGTAGTGTATAATTAAAACGTATAAAAATAAATGTATTTGAAATATAATTAGATATTTTCAAATAAGCATTATCATATTGATTTATTATGAGAGTATTAACATATGTATTAATTATGAATAATGGCAATCAATAAAAATCATAAACCTTATATAGAGAAACAAAAACAAAAAACAATATTTCATTTTTGAAAATATTAATTTTAAACATTGCAATTTAATATCGTATTTATTAAAAGTAATATGAAATATATATATATATATATATTTAAGAGTATTTCATTTTATATGGTATTTTATTAAGATATAGGTATTAGTTTGATTTTGATTTGTATGGGAATGGGACATTCAGACTGTGGGGTACTTCCAATCTTTTATAAAAAAGACTGATAAATTTTCTATAACTTCATTTAATTAATTAGAACTTAAATTATTATTTTATATTTTATATTAATTACAAATATTGTGTAATAGTGTACTAAAATAGGGAAATGTTGAGAATAGTAAGCAGCTTTTTGATGAGTAATTGAAGACATTTGTTTTCAGTTTTGCACTTAAGAGAAGAGGTGGCAACATTTTGTTGCCCCTGTACGACAAAATCTTAAACATGGCCCTATTTTTAATTATAAGATTTTATTAAATATTTATTTCATAAATTATAGTTTTTATTGTTGAACAGAATTAAATTTTTTTTAAATAAAAATTGTTCTTTACTATTAATAAATAAATATTAGTGTCTTATATATGTATATATTTTTTATAGTAACATATGTTCGCCGAGTACAACATGCTGCTATTCGTGCATACAGTAGTGAAATTTCAAATAGTGAAGAAGAAATTATATCTTCTGATGACAATGATGATAATTCCATTCAGTTGTTGTTTGAAGCGCTTACTGAAGTATTTTGTAAATCACCTATTAATGGTAATTGTTTACTAGATTATCAAATAAGCTATTATAACACTATTACTAGAAAAACTACAAATTTTATTCGATATTTATTGGTTGATATTGAATTAATGACTGAAACTAATTCACAATTAAAATATATATTAACAATTGAGTTCAATAAAGAAAACTTTGAAGAATGCCAAACTACAGTGGATAATAAAGAAACTTATTTGACAAGAACAAAATTTGTTCCCGTTGTTGGATTGCGTTCTATTTATGATGATGAAAATAGTGATCACTATTTAAATATAGATTTTTCTCATTTAACTGAAGCTGACAAGGATCATGTAAAGTATTATGATGAGTTGGCCTCAATCATTGAAAGAGCAACTGTGAATGGTATGCGGAAATTACGTCAACACTCACTAGCTCCAGTGTTGACTCGTTATAATAAACAATGGTTACCTAATGACAGTTATTTTAGCTCTTCATTAGCTCCACCACCATATCCATCACCATAGAATAAAATTAAATACATTTTTTTCTATTTATTTGTGTTATATAATTTTTGAACATTTTAATAATAAAATAATTATGTTTTATAAATATTTATGAGTAATAATAATAATAAATTAAAAATATGATTCAATTAAATGATTGATTTTACTTAGTTCACATTATTAATAAATACCAGGATTTTGGAATATATCTTATAACATCACTATTTATGGTTTATTATTAATTGCATTTTATTAACAATTATAAAAATTCTTTTGCCTTATCTTTTTAATTGGACTTTTTGAGTGAATTTTATTTATTAATTAAATAGTTTAATAATATATTTTAAAAACTTAGCTAAAATATTGAAATTTGAATGTCGATTAAAAATAGCTCGAAATAAATAGAATTTGAGTAAAATTCCTGCTGTATTTATGGTTCCTATTTCTTGATATCCTGTTATTTAAAGTTAAATTAAAATAAAAAGGAATGTAGAATACCAAATTCAAAAATTTAAGAAGTTTTTTTTTTTTTAAATATTGTAAATAACATATACAATATATAAAATTTAAAAATGTATTGTACATTTTTTTTTATTTATTAATATTATTATTATTATTATTATTATTATTATTATTATTATTATATTTGTATCTTTATAATCATTATATTGTTGATTAACTTAATAATTACATAATTGTTATTTTGTATGATTGTTTTAAACTAATATAAAATAAAAATGTTTAACTATTATAAAGAAATAATATATTTATCTGTATAGAATGTTTAAAATTATAATATATTACATTTTTATCCAAATAGGGTGGTAAATATTTCATATTGCAATGTATCACATCTTAATATTCAACTAAACAATCTAAAATATTTGTAATAAGTTCAGAAATATTAAATACAAACATTTAAACAGTCAACTAACATGAACTTGCTTTAAGTTTTCATTCAAGAGCTTCATTCTAATATTTTTCGGAACTTATTTATAGTATGTTATTTTTATTTAAGTATATAATTGCAAGACATTAGTCTCATACTACATTATGTTTAGTTCTCTTAACTATTTAAAAAATTAGCTTATATCCTTGTTATTTTACAATTTATTTAAAACATCAAGTAAAAACTTACATGTGCGTCCATTCTTTTTTATGTATTTTTATCTAGTATTGAACTATGAAAATATGAAATATAATAAAATTTCCACATATCAAAGAATAATATATTTTGTTGCATTATGAATTAAAGATTTGAGTCTGTCAAAAAGTAAAGAACTATTTTTGTGGTTAACACAAAGTGGAATGGATACAAAATCCAAAATTCATAAATGTGATGTTTAATTTTTATAAGTATTAAAAATAATACACATATATGTGAATGAAAACATGTACCTATATTATATAAATAAAAATGAAAATATTGACTACATTTTCAAAATAATTACTAAGAACTAAATTTTTAAGTATGATTATTAATTTTTTCTACATTAGATTTAGTAGCGGTTGATTTATGCTCCATTCCCTTTGTTCCTGTAGATAAACCTCATCCTCCATTAAATATAATTTGTGAATTTACTGGAATTAAAAAATTGCCTAAACTGCCAATGGTTCGTAAAAATTTTAGTAAAGCCAATTTCGAGGGTGTTTCATTAACTTTGAATAATATCAATTGGGAAAAATTACTTTTCGATATAAATATTGATATAGCCGTCGATAAATTTTATAATGGGGTAAATTTAATATTAGACAAGTATGTACCTATAATTAATGTATATAAACCAAATTTTCCTCATTGGTTTGACGGTAATTTACGCAGACTGATAAAAAAAAAACGTGTAGTACATATGATTTATAAAAAAAACCCTTGTCCAGCGATATATGCATTTTTCTCAGAACTTCGAGCGAAATGTAAATATTTCTCTAAACAATGCCATGATCGATATTTGTATAATATTCAAAATAATTTGTTTACCAATCCTAAATACTTTTGGAGTTTCATTAAGAAAAAAAGACAAACTAATTTGTTACCATCCTCTATGTTTTATAATGAAAACACTTTTGATTACAACAAAACCATATCTTATGCATTCGCTGATTATTTTTCTTCGGTTTACAAAAAATCACAATTTCTTGCTTCTCAGTCTTCCGAATTTCTATCACAATCAACAGTTAATATCTCATCTATACATATCTCGTTAGCTGAGTTATTTGAGGGTCTTACAAATATGGGTCTAGATAGCACATATGGGCCAGATGGACTACCCTCTATTGTCCTATCTAAATGTTGTTATTCTTTAGCACGCCCAGTGTTTGCTTTATTTAATAAATCACTTTCTGTAGGTGCTTTTCCAACTCTATGGAAAACCAGTTTCGTAATACCTGCATGTAAGTCCGGAAACCGTAATTCGATAAGTAACTATCACCCAATCTCGAAATTAAGTTCATTGCCAAAACTTTTTGAAAAGTTAATTGAGCCAAAGTTATCATGTTCATTTATTAACATTTTAATAAATGAGCAACACGGTTTTCGATCACAAAAATCAACTGTTACAAATTTGGTAGTGTACCTTAATAATGTGCTCGGAACAGTGAAGAATAGAGGGAAAGTGGATGCAATCTATACGGACCTTAGTAAGGCTTTTGATTCAGTTGATCACGAGGTTATGTTAGGAAAACTAAAAACTTTTGGTGTTAATGATCCCATATTATCATGAATAAGATCTTTCCTTACTAATAGAATCCAGCAAGTTAAAATAATAGATGCAATATCGTCTTCTTATAAGGTTAATTCAGGCGTTCCACAAGAGGGACATCTGTCCCCCCCCTATTATTTTTGTTATTTATGAATGACGTTAAAAGTATATCCAATATTGCAAATTTTCTCTATTCGCTGATGATTTAAAATTATACCTGACAATAAATTCACTTGATGATTGTGTTAGATTACAAGAAGAGTTTCATCGTTTCTCTTATTGGTGTAAAGAAAACCACTTAAAAATGAATGTAAATAAATGTGCACAAATTTTATTTACCAGGAAAAATAAACCGATTTTACACAATTATTCATTAGACAGCCATAAAATAAAAATAGTCTCTTCTATCAAAGACTTAGGTATCATACTATCATCTGATCTTACATTTTCTGAACATATATCATATATTCATAATAAAGCGATGCGCATGTTAGAGTTTATTAGGAGACAATGTTGGAACTTCAATAATATTCAATGTCTCAGAACTTTGTATTATTCGCTAGTTTGATCAAATATTGAGTATATGGGTCCATATTATGGAACCCATCGCAATCTGGTCATATAAATAGTTTTAATAAAATACAATCCTACTTGTTAAGATATTTGTCAAATAAATTTGCTATTCATTGTACAATTGATGAACTTGCGTCAAATTTAGGTTTAAACACTCTGTCTTCCAGAAGAAAATTTATTGATATTTCTTTTATTTACAAAATATTAAACGATCAAATTAACTGTCCTGAAATTTTGGGGGAAATAGGTTGGTTGATCACTACTTTTTATTCAAGATCTAAATTAACTTTCAATGAGCCATTCCACTCACAACTATATTGTTTTAATGATTTTAATTTTGATGAAGAATCTAAACTTCGGCTTTTATGTCTAAGTTTCAAATAGTAAATCACCAATGTACAACTCTAATATAAATAAGTAATTGTAAATAATTAAAATTATATATAATTGTTTGTTTTTAAAATACACATAACATAGAAATAAGTAATTAAAATTAAATACTACTATTAGATATTATTATTTATTATTTATTTTTATCATTATAACTTATATTTATAATTTTTGTAAAACATGCTGATACTCAATTGCTCTATATGGGCGTTAATAAACTATTATTATTATTATTATTATTATTATAAAATGAAAATATTGACTACATTTTCAAAATAATTACTAAGAACTAAATCTTTAAGTATGATTTTTGTAATTAATTTCAAATTGATCACTGATTATCTAAAGAAAAAATATTTACATACAAAAGTATGAGTCAACCTCATGATTTCAAAGATAATGATTTTTTTTCTTGTTAAAATCCAGTTAACTAATTAAATTATAATTATAACTATAGAACCACAGTATCATACTGAGATCCTCTTATTGAAATATTTTCGACGTAAATTAAGCTTAACAAATAAAATAACAAATTAAAATTAGACAAGTATACTGGATTCAAAACACACAAAGATCATAAATATTGTACATAATAGTATAATTTGTATAAAAAGTTAAGCACATTATAGGCATTAAAAAATATTTTATTTACAAAATTAATATTTTACGACAATCAGTAATGGAACATCTGTTTTTCAACTTATTTTATGGATTTACTGGTCCAGAATGTTGATTAGATGTACTAGCTACATTTTCATGAGTTGAAGAAATAGTACTGGTTTTTGCTTTAGTTTTTTTATTACTCTCAAGCCAAGCATTAAATGTGAATCTATATAACACATTTTATTTGTTAATATTAAATTAGTACTCTTATATATGATATTCACATACTTGCAATGGTCATAACAACAACTTATACTGCAATATTCACAGTCCCATTCTGAATCTGCAACAGCCAAATTTTGACATCCTTCAGCAATGCATTTATCTTGTGTTTTGGAGTCATTTGGTGTGCTGGTATCTATGAGGAATAAAATTTATATTTGTAAAAATATTTATACACACATTTTGTAAAATATAAGGATAAATTTAACTTGTAAACAAAAAAAATATAAAATACAGTTGATGTGTCAAAATACAAAACAATTATAGCACGACAGATAACTTCCACGTAGTTGAGGAAAAATAATACAACTGATTAACAGAAACCTGTACTCGCCTGGATTGATTGTGGCTGATTTACCTGTAGCAGATTTCATTGGAACGTCACTTTTACCGGTAGACATGTGTTTACTATTGGCTTTCTTCTGCTACGTCGAGGAACGGGAAACGGTGGAACAGAAAAAAAATTGCATTTAAACGACTTCACTGTGTGGCTGTCGGTACGGCCTTAGAACATACCTCTGCCTGCAGTTTGGAAGACATTGAATGCGATGGCTGAAGTTGGTGGATCAGACCGTATGTGTTTCATAAATAAAGGCTTTCGGGACGACGGGATACAAGGCGGACGTGGTGCTCCGATCGGAGGACGGTGTGATGTTTGTTGTCGTTTGTCGCACGTTAACAATCGATAAACGATAACGATACGGCACGATGCGGACACGTTATCACTGTGGCGAGCGCGCGATTACCGCGAACAACTTACGACCACGGAGTTAGTAGGACGCGGCTCATCGGTGCGTGGACCGTGGTTGTAGTGGTAACCAGAGCGTGGTTATCGACCGTGACTTACACTTATCGTGCGGCAACCAATCGTAAGTGGTGTACCGGACGCACAGACATACGTTCAACATTACCTATCGCTGCGGCACCGGGGCGGAGGGCGCACGAACCCGTATGCAAACGAAGGAGAAGGAAGAAGTAAGGCTGATAACGGTGCGCGACGGTCGTGCGTCTGCGCGTGCGTGAGGGATCGTATTGAGTTTTGTCTTTTCAAATATCGCCTCGTCCGGGACGCCGTCCTTTGCTGTTCAGTACTGTCCACCATTATGCCGCCGATGGTCGTTTGTTACCCGCTGTCGGTCATTCGTTCTTTCGTTCCGTAGGTGACGTACCCTGTTTACCCTACCGATCGTGGCGACGCGTAATCACCGTCCGCCCGACCGGACTTTATTCCCGTGTCCCACGACTGTTTGATTATCGGGAGTCTGCTTTTCGTCGTGCGTCCCGTCCAAATACACCAGAGAAAGCTTCAATTGCGTTTTGAAGTTTTCAGGTCGGCATTCATGGAACTATGAACCTGGATTCATTGTCATACACGTTGGCCCAGATTAGTTATCTTGTCAGTAATCTTTCCAAGAAGAACTACAAGCCGAGCGTGCAGGAGATATTAGACGTAAGTACGACTCGTAATTTCGGCGGTCCTATGGCCCTTTTTTTTTTCGCCTCTCGTCCATCCATGATGGCGTCGTCATACCGACAGATGTCGTCTTGCCGGTGTCACTTCGCTGCCCGCGTTGTTACGATTTCTGTCCGCGGTGCCGACTTGTTATATTGTGTTTTCAACTGCTGCTGTTGTCGAAATGACTTGTGTACATTTATTTTCCACGTTCGTTTTCGTATGTTGCGTTCTTCATCCGCCTTCGCATCGTGCAATCTAAAACATTGATTACGTTTCGCTTTTTCGCTGTCGCGGTATTATATTCGCGTTCTAGTTTGAGGTCAGAAATCAAAATGGTGGACGCGAGTATGTTTCAATAGATTGTCTTCCATCACTCTGATCGTTTTTAAAACTAATCCATATTGGAATACGCATGATAAATTTGTAAATATTATTTGAATTATATTTTAACACGTTGAGTTTGTTTTTATTTCAATTAGCTTGGGGATAGTGACCGAGTCTTATTTTTTTTTTTAATGAATATTTTTACTATTTTCTTTTGTTTGTTTTTCAAATTGATTTTTATTCCTCTAATATTTTAAAAACAAGTTAACAAATTAATATTTATTAAGATACAAAAGCAATTAAAGTTTTGAAACATTTCATAGGTTGATCATTTTCACAAATTTTAAAATACAATATAGCTTACCTATTACAAATAAGGTTTTGTAATTATATTGAATTTAAAATCATAATCTAAATTTAAAATTTTTAAATTTTAACCTACCTATAAATGAATATTAATAAAATTATCAACATATAGATAACTTGTATATTATGTATTCACACACATTTATGTGCAATAAATTCCGCCCAGTATTATACTGGTTATTATGGGTACTCAGTTTAGTTTATGTTTGACATATTTATTTTATCATAGTGTTAAAATATATTTTAATAACTAATACAATTGGGTTTTGTTGTGTTTATCAAAAGTAAAAAAAAATCATTTACTTATAAACTTTAATAGGATTTTATTGTAAATTTAATTTTATGTGTAGAAGTATTATCAAAATCAATAAAATAAGAGTAAAATAAATGCTATGAACTTGTAGCCTTCTTTCCCTAACTCTACAACAATCAGTTTTATCATGAATTTCAATGCTTTTGTGAATGTTTTCGATTATATCTCAAAAAAATCTTTCCTTCAAGAAAAAAATTGCGATTTTGGGTAAAGTGAAGTCTCTTGCTTTAGGCACTTAACAATGTAAAATTGTTGAGCTATTATGTGTTGCTAGATTCAGCATAATTCTAGTTTAGCAACCTATTGAATTTTTTAATTTTTTTTTCCAAAATGTGTGTTTTATAAGTATGTAAAAAAAAAGAAGCCCAGACAAACTTCGTTTTGAAGTTATTGATGAAAAACTACAAAAACTTAATTTTTTTCATAATGTGCATTTTTTTTTTTTTTATTAATATAATATTTCATTTTAATTTTCACATATTTACATTTTTATTGTATCTGTTACCTACTTGAGGTGGTTTTGCATAGCGAATTGAGGGATATTTTCGATTTGCTAAGCGAAGCGACGGTGCCGAGGAGCGTACCGACGAGTGCCGAAACACTCGTATAATAGTTTCATTGGCCATTGCCGATACCACACGCATTGTTTGCAAAAAATTTTATTTCATTTTCACACTATTAGACAATTTTTAGTGCATTATTTTTCATAAATACTTCGGATGTAGGTGGACAGGGGTCAATTGTTGAAATTGACGAATCAAAATTTGGAAGACGAAAATATCACAAAGGACATCACTTCAAGTTTTTGAAGTTTTTCATCAATAACTTTTAAACAAAGTTTGTCCGGGCTTCTTTTTTTTACATACTTATAAGTTACCTAACCTAACACACATTTTGGAATAAAAAAATTAAAAAAAATCTATAGGTTGCTAAACTAAAATCGTTCCCTTGATTATATTATTCATTCGTATATTTATTTATCTACTAATTTTTTTCCCCGAATTTATGATTTATGTATAAAATATAAAAACTTTTTAATATTAAAAAATGTGGGTGTTATATTATCATTGATTAAATATAAATATTATACTACCACTAAATGTATTATTCATTTGAGTATATAAATTATGTAGAGTTAAAATTATTTTTTAATTTCATTTTTTTTATTTTTTTTAGTACCTATTATATTTATTTAATAACAAATAATTAATCAAACCCTTTAAGTATTTGATTTATTTTTAGGCAATTCAATTGCAAGGATTTGAAGCAGATCGTCATCTATTACGTTGTCTGTTCTCTCACGTAGATTTAAAAGACTCCGAAGGACCACGTAATACATCTCATAAAGATTACTATCAAGCCCAATTATTATCACAACAGTGTGCAACACTCTTGAACAAGCCATCACTAACCTCAATATTGTGTTTTGCTCTTGATAATCCACTTTTGTCTCAGAAGGTATTTATGTTTATTATGTTATCAAAGTTTTTAATATTTTTGCATTGTGTATATTCAACTACCTTATTATGTTTAACTTGAAGGCACAAAAACCATCAATACAGCAATTTACTCAACTAAGTAGAATACTACATCTAAGTCCTGTGCAAGAAGTTGTATTTGGAATTGTTTGCTTAGAGTCAACCAACTATTCAACATACGCTTTACAATTTGTCAAGCAAAAATTGCCAATTCTCATTAAAACCTATATTAATTCAGGTAGAATTATATAATATATATATATATGATTCAATGATAATTTAAGCTTAATTACATTAAATATATTATTTTAATTTAGAAATTAATTCTAATCAAGTTACTGAAGGAGGATTGCATGATTCAAGTCCTGAAGTACTGCATCTGATTTTAAGTCACGTATTTAATGTTGATGAACAATCATTTGGTATGTTAAAAAAATAATATTATGTTTATATTTGTATTTTCTTATAATTTTTATTCGTTATATTTTATTAAATTGAGAAAACATCATGGATTTATGCATAAAAATGTATGTAAATTTAAAATAATAGTAACCAAGATTTTCAAATAACTTTACCTATAATGTTAGATAACTCTATAAATTTGCTCTAACATGTATTTGGCTGTATTAACGGCAAATAATTATTTGTTAATTATGTATAAAAGAAAAGTAACAGATTTTTTTTTTTTAATTTTAGGGATAAGTAAAGAAGTTAAAAAAATTTTATTACTCAACCTACGTCAAGATTTTCCATTTGAAGTAGCTCCTGTATTATTAGCGCCAATAATTTACTCAGATAAATTGGAACATCCTATGGAAAAAATCAATTCTGATACGTCAACTATTGCTAATATAATGGTAATAGTTATTTTAGGTTTTTTTATTAAGCATGAATTCTATCCTTATATTTTTTTTAGGATAATCCATCACTACCTGATTTAATAATGGAAATGGGTTATTCCGTCTGTTCTTCGTTGGATGAATGCCGTCGAAACTTGTTATCGGTCACTAGTGGTTGCAACCCATTAATAACTTTTGGTCCAGAGTCTGTTGCTAAAGTATTATCAATGATGATACGTACGCACACAGGTTTGGATTCTCAATTACCTTTACCATATTGGACTGATGATAATTTAAATATGGACAAATTATCTTCAAACTCAAACCATTCTACAACTTGGAATATTGAAGTTTTTGTGAAAACTATTAAAGAACTGGTATGTTTGTTTAATATCAGTTGATTATTAAAATATTCTAATATCAATTAATTTTTATTTCAGAATCCTTCATTATCTTGGATGGATTTGATAAAAGAACTGGATCACGAAGACTTTTTTGTTAAGGATAGACAAGGTTTGGTTCTTCTTTTTTTGGCATTAAGACTTGGTTTAAACGTACAAGGATATCATTTAGATAATTTTCCTATAAATATGCTTTATCGCCACTGGACTCATTCTGAAGCACAGGTTATTTATTTTCCTCATAAGATTTATAATGATAATATAAGTAATGATAATTATTTTATTATTGTATTTTAGATGTCTCTCATTCAACATATCCTACAAAATGCTGATATATTTTGTTTCGCTGATTATCCTTATAGATCAGTATCTATAGATTCATTAAAAGTAGTTCCAGATTCGGACAACAAAGATATTAATACTTGGTATGATTAGTCATTAGGTCCTAGTTAAGAGTTATATTTTATATATCTTCTGATCAGTCACACTAACAATAATTTTGATTTTTTCATTAAATAAGTACTGTTATATATACAATAGCACTTATATATGGAAATATAATCCTACACTATATAATATAGATTTAAAATAAAATAACTATTAGATATTATATTTATAATATGGTTAGTAAAACTAAGCTTCTATTGAAACTCGTATTGATTTTTCATAAATTCAGTGTTTTTCAAATTTGTATGACGAGAATGGGCATTCTAAAAATTTTTAAATATTGAACCAAATCTTATATAAAATATCTTTTGATTTTAATTTCTGTTAAATGGATAAATAATATCAAAAACTTATTTAAGACACTTGTATCGTTATGTATTCTTTTTCATAGATCTTTAGTATAATAATTTGTTTAACATGTAATATTTAGCCATACTTTTAATTAATTTTATGGTTTTTTTTTTTTTTGAAAACAAAGGGAACAATTATCAGTCCAATTCAAATAAAACTTTAACCTTAAAGTAATATATAGCTTATTAAATTTCCAAGATATTATTTCAATAATTGAATAATTGCATCATATATTTCTAGTCTAATATTCCATGTTTCTATGTTTTTTATTTATGTAACCTATAACTTTTGTTTTTTTTTTTTTTTTTTTTTAAGGCGATCCATTGATCTGGTTGATTTATTACTTCATTTAGCTGAATGTGGTCTTTATTATGAAGTGCAAGAATGTTTGAAGTTCCCTGCTCAGAAGTGTCCTGATATTTTAGCTCTTGCTTTGATAGAATCTGATGGCCCATTGAATATGATCAGACATGAAATAATCAGTAGTCTGATACCAATATTTTTAGGAAACCATAGTAATGCTTCCACTATATTACATCATGCTTGGAACCATCAGGTATCACTATATCATATAAAATCTAGGATACAATACTGCAGCGTTTCCCAAAGTGTGTTCCGCGGAACCTTAGGGTTCCGCCGGATGCATATAATTATCGAAAAACTTATTTTATATTATACTCGGAAAAAATATTATTTTATAATATTTAAAAAAAATTGTGTTTTTAACTAATTTTAATAAAAAATGATCATTAACAATATTAACGGTATCATTAAAAACATTTTTTAGATTATTATTTTTTTTTTTTTTTTTTTTTTTAGAAAAATAAGAGTTGAATTGGAATTAGAAAGGCATTAGGGTTTCGCGAAACACAAACTATTTTTTTAAGGGTTCCGTGATTGTAAAAGTTTGGGAACCGCTGCAATACTGTACAAACTAAAAGTTTAAAATATTTTAAAATAAAACGAAATGTATAGGTGATTACATAAAATATTAGTCTTTTAATTATTAATATAATATAAAATTATAAGTGCTCAAGAAGTTCATGTTCTTCAATTTTCTTAACTTTTTTTTTTTTTAACAATGGATGGAAATTTTAATGTAATACTTCTTTTAAAATTAATGTTTAAATTTTACACGAAATTTTTACATATTTAATTCTGAAAACATTTTTATGGCCTAAAGTTGGAAAATTATACACTTGATTATTTATGTATTATTTAATTTCAGAATATTGGGCTTAAACATACATTAGTTCAGGCAATGAGTGATTGGTATATGCGTAGTGACTATGATCATGTTAAACTTTCCCGGATATTAGAAATAGCCCAAGATTTAAAAGTAAATAAAATTATTTCTAATTCTAAAATTCATTATTAATTATTAATTAATTAAATTCCAGGCTTTATCTTTATTGTTGAGTGTTCAGCAATTTCCATTTATTATTGATTTAGCCTGTCTTGCATCTCGAAGAGATTTTTTAAAATTAGATAAATGGTTATCAGATAAAATACGTGAACAGAGTGAAAGTTTTGTATCAGCATGTGTTAAATTTTTACAGGTCAGTTAACATCTTATTTTATTACTAATAGTTGTTGAGTACTTTGTCGTTTTATAAATATTTGTATTAATGTATAGTTTTGATATAATTTTTTATTAGAAACGATTTCCTCAATTTGGTGGATCATCATCCAAGGATGAAAATGTATTAAAATACACTCCATTATCATCAGAAACTGTACTTATAATGTTAAATTGTTTACGCAATAACACTGGGTAAGGTCAATCATTGAAGCTTTATCTCTTATTTCAAACCTTGCCTCTAACAAATACTTAATTGCTTCCGATTCAATGTCTTGTCTACAGGAACTAATATCTAACCCTTTTGACTCCCACTTGTCTTCCTTATCATTAAATCTATCAACCTAAAACTCCAGTAAGAAAATTATACCATCCAATTTCTTTGGGTTCCAAGTCATATCGGTATACACGGGAACAAATTCGCCAACAATCTGGCGAAATCAACGTCCAATTTAATATGTCCTTCTCTCACCCAACTTCCTCGTACTGATTTTATTCCAATTTTACGGCGTCATATATCTAACCTCTGGCATACATACTGGTCAAACCTCCCAGCTGAGTTTGCCACCAGATACAAAAACATCGTACCAAATGTTCTCAACAAAACATTGTTTTACAACCTCAATTTACCAAGATCAAGTATCATACAATTCAATCGCCTATGTTCTGGTCACACTTTACTACCTGCTCACGCATAAAAATTAGAATTAAACGATTCCCCATTTTGTACTCTACATTCCCACGAAAGTGTTTGCAATCTCCCTCGCCTCCTTTTTGACTGTCCTCTGCACGTGAAACGCGTTATTTTGTTTAATTCTCTTATATCCATCAATCTCCCTTCTATCCTCAACCCCAACTCGGAAATAGTTGTTAATATAATTATTAATTTTATTTTGGAGGCTGGTTTCTCTATATGATTACCCTTAAGACATTTTTTGTTTTTAACCCTTTGCTTGTATTTTAATATTGTTTTGTTATCTGTTATATTTTTCTAAATAATTGTTGAGTTGTAATAGTTATACTAAAAGCTAAATATAAAAAAAAAAATAAAAAAAAAAAGGTCAATTATTGTAACTTTTATTTTTTATTGATGAATTTTATTAACACCTTCAAATAAAATTAACATTAAATTAACAATATTCCATTCTGTTAATGATTTTAAAATATTTTTATCAAAATTACAGAATAGTTTCGCAAGAACTTTCAGAAACTATTATACAAATGGTTTCAACCTATGCTAATTTATGTATGCCAAAAGCAACTCCTCGTATTAATACAGCTGTTCCACCAACACCAATGTTTCGTGCTCCTCAACATCACAGACCTATTGCACCAATTGAAGGGCAAACACTTCAAGTAATGGTAGATCAACTTACGGGACTTGCCACTAATCTTGCTAATCTTGGACTTACTCCTACTTCACAAACTAGTTCCACATTTACTTTACCAGGTTCGTAGATAAGTACATTTATAAAATTAATAACATTTTTTAATTTCATTTATTTTCAGGATCCTTGGGACAACTGGTTCAAACTCCCGGATCACCTTCTCGAAATCTGGTTGGCAATGTATCAGGACTAGGTGGTTTTTCTATTATGACACCATCTATAAATAGTATAAATGCTCCTGGTCCAAATACATCTAATCAATTATCAGGTCCATCTAATATGTTAGGTCATTTGCCTTCACAACAAGTCTTGCCATCAGTGATTGGCAAATCTAATAATCAAAGTAATGCAAAAAACTTAATTAGCTACTATATGTTTGTTCAAATTATAAGAATAAGTATTATTTGTAGTTGATAACAGCTTATTCATGGATGGTAATACACCAGTTTCTGTTCCAAAAGATATTGAAGATGAAGCAAATAGTTATTTTCAGCGTATTTATAACTTAGCACCTCATAATTCTTTATCCATTGATGAAGTCTTAGAAATGCTTAAAAGATTCCAGGAATCACCTGTTAAACGTGAAAGGGTGATTATTTTTAACTATAAGAGTCATTAACATAAATATCTTTTGATAAAATGTATGTTATTTTAACATTTTAGGAAGTATTTAGTTGCATGCTTAGGAATTTATTTGAAGAGTATAGATTTTTCCCAGCATATCCAGAGAAAGAACTAATTACAACAGCTCATCTATTTGGTGGAATTATAGAGCATAATCTTGTTTCGTAAGTAATTTTGATATTTTTAGTTCTGATTTATATATTATAATCAACATTTAACTTTCTTTCATTTTAAAGAAATTATAAGGCTTTAGGACTAGCACTTCGTTTCATTTTGGACGCTCTTAAGAAGAGTCCAAATTCTAAAATGTATAACTTTGGAATAACTGCATTGGACCGTTTTAAAAATCGTTTAAAAGATTATCATCAATATTGTTCTCATATAACTGGCATTCCTCATTTTCAGCAATTTCCTCCGCACTTAATTGAGGTTTGTTTTATATGAATTCAGTATAAATAAAATATAATGGTAAAATGTATAAAAATGTCTTATTAACATTAATTTTATGTCATTTTTAAATTATGTATGTAAGTTATCCATAATCCCTTAAAAAAAAAACTATTGAAACAATATCTCAGTATATTAAAACTTAAAAAGTTAAAAAGTGTGATGTTCAAAACAAAAAAATTGTGTTATTTTTATTTTTAGTTTGTTGAATATGGAAAAAACTCGCAAGAACCACCAACAACTCGAATTCCTGATTTGGTTGGTATTAGTAGTAATACAATTCCACAGGGAACATTTGTTCCTAACTTACATAGTATATTTAAAGCTCATAGTATTACAACTACTACAACAACTACTTCAGTGTCATCTACATCATCTAAACCCATTACTACTAATACTCTAGTTTCATCAAGAGTAAGAATATTTATAGAAAATGTTTTAAATAGTGTTTTATTGTATATTTTATTTCTGTGTTAATTTTTTCCTAGCCTTCAATTGCAAATACTACAAATATCGATACATTATTAGTTGCAACAGAAAATGATGAAAAAATAATAATACCACCTGATAATATTCAAGACAAAATTGCTTTTATATTTAATAATCTAAGTCAGATTAATCTTCAGACAAAAGTAAGACTCTTAATATTGTATATTAAAATTACCTTTACCATTACCTTTAATATCACTCATTTTAATTTAATTATTTATATTATAGTGTGACGAAATAAGAGATATCTTAATAGGTGATTATTTACCTTGGCTTTCTCAGTACTTAGTTATGAAGCGAGTCAGCATTGAGTTTAACTTCCATTCGTTATATTCAAATTTTTTGGATTGTTTGAATAATGCTAAATTAAATACATTGATACGTTTAGAAACTTATAGAAATATTAGAGTGAGTTTTATAGAATAATAGATTAAGTTATTATATAAGTTATATATGTTGTCAAATAAATTATTTTTTATTTCATTTTTAGATTTTATTAAAAAGTGATAAAAGCATGGCTAATTTTTCGGATAGATCATTATTGAAAAATTTAGGTCATTGGCTTGGTATGATCACGTTAGCCAAAAATAAACCAATTTTACTTGATGATATTGATCTGAAGTATTTACTGGTCGAGGCATATAATAAAGGTCATCAAGAGTTATTATTTTGTGTTCCATTTATTGCCAAAATTCTTGAATCATGTGCTAAAAGTAAAGTATGTATCTGGTTGTAAATTAATAATATGATATCTTTAGTTTATGATAAACTAACTTGTTATGTATTTATTTAATGATTTTTAAAATATAAATTTATGATCTTAACAATTATATAAATGAGGATCACATATTTAATTTTTACTAATTCGTGTTGAGTACAAATAATTAAATATATCAAATATTTGCAAAATTATTAAACATATATTAACTAACTTTATTTGTTTTCTTGTTAAAGTCATACATTTTTATCTGTGATACACTATATATTAATAATAAATTACAATTTTAAAATCTTAATTTTTAAATATGTGTATATACTATATATTTTGATTTTGTTAAGGTTTTCAAACCAAGAAACCCCTGGACAATGGCCATTTTGAACTGCTTAGCTGAACTTCATCAAGAGCCTGAATTGAAATTAACCTTAAAGTTTGAAGTTGAAGTATTATGTAAAGCTCTAAATCTCAATGTTGATGTAATCCTAATTGGAATATTTGAATAACAAAAACTTAGTTATAAAAGCTTATTTCTATTAAAAAATGTATTCCCTTTTTAAGGAATTAAAACCGGGGTATGTGCTTAAAAATCCAGAAATGTTTAAGAAAATAAAGCATCAACTTTCAGACGAAGAAGAGTCACAACCACAGGCACAAGCACATGCACCAGTAAAAAATGTGCCAGAACCACCCAAAATTTCTGTTCCTACTTCTCAACAGAATACACCTAGTTTTCAAAGTATATTAATATTCATATAAAACTAAATCCCAATAAGCTTTTTAAGTTAAAATATTTGCTACTTTTTCTAGTTATTTCATAATTATAATAAGAATATAATAATAAAAGTAATAATATAACTAACAAGTACCTATTTTATTTGGTCATGAAAATTATAATTATAATAATAATGTATTTCTTTGGTACTTTGTTCTTGCAGAGGTTATCATATTGATGTTCAGTGAAAAGTTAGGTCATAATTTTACATTTATATTCTATTAATATTACCGATTGTTAAGCAACTGTACTCATTTTTTAAATTTTTTTTTCAACTATGGAATTAAAAAAAAAAATGATTCAATATTATTTTTACAATATTTTTGTCAAACGTTTTTCTATTTTAAATATAGTTCAAATGTTGTTCCTATTTTTTTTTAAAATATATGAAAGATTAAACTTTCAATAATTTAATGCTAAAATGTATTAAATTATGATATATAATCTTATATACATTTATGTAATTAATAGCCTTTTTATAGTTTTATTAATGTATTATTTCAATTTTTAGCAGTGGTATCATCACAATCACAACAGCAGAACATAATCTCAAACATTCAAACAATGAATGCCAATGTACGATTCAATGATGAATTAGTGGGTAATGTTGTTGCAGCTGGAGGGGTTACAACTTTGACTTCAAGTGGTTGTATGGGTATAAGCGGTTTAACAGGAATATCACCACCTATAACTTCTTTTGAGCCTAAGTATAATTATGTGACATTTAATACAGCAAATTCAGCACAAATAATGTCCATGGTTGTCATAAATTCCCAAGTAAATATCTTTTTTTTGTTAAATACTATTTTAAACTTAAAATTATAGCTTACACTAAAAATGATTCATAATGACATTATTAATACAGAGTTTGTTTTGCTTTGATTGCCACTTTCTGTTAGTCCTAGTAACATAACTCATATATCTTATTTTTTAATCATATATCTATTGATAAAATTATTGAGATAATTTTTTTTTTACCCATGGAGTGTCATTCTTACTATGAATAGATTTTACAGCTATTTTTTTGAATCAATATATGTGTTTATATTTCAATTGCAAATATTATTTTTATGTTAGTTAATGTTTATAGTTCTTTCATTATTTCTATTGACCAATTGATAATAGGTACTAATATTCTAATTATATTAAATATTGATTATTTAGATCCCATTATTTGTCAATCAACCAGCACTTAAATCTTATGTCCAAACTGCTATTGAGCGATCAATGCAAGATTGGCTGAGTCCTGTTGTGGAAAGATCTGTGAAAGTTGCAGCAATAACATCGGAAAATATCGTTAAAAAAGTTTGATTTTTCATTTAATTTTATGAATGTAAAATTGTTATTCAAAATTAATTTCTAGGATTTTGGTATGGACCCTGATGAATCTCATTTGCGCAAGGCAGCTCATTGTATGGTAAGAAATTTAACCTCTGGTTTAGCAATGATAACCTGCAGAGAACAAGTTTGTCAAATCCTAACAACCAACTTAAAACAACATTTCCTTAGTGTTTTACTCGTAAGTATGAAAATATTAACCCCTCATATTTCTCTCGATTATATATTATATTATTTTAATTAGACACCAACGCAATCTCAAAAAGAAATGATTGATCAAGCTTGTACAATGTGTGCTAATGACAATTTAGAATTGGCTTGTGCTTTTGTTCAGAAAACTGCTACTGAAAAAGCAGTAATTGAAATTGATAAGTATTTGAAAAGTGTGAGTTCCATTTATTTCAGAAATACATTATTAAATATTTAAATTTGACATCGTTTGAAATAATTTTACAGGAATATGAAAAACGTAATTTATCAAGAATGGAAGGTCGTCGATATTGTGATCCAATGGTAATGAGTGGTCAAGCTGAATATTTACCAAATAATCTTCGTAACAAAGTTGGATTACCACTACCTCAAATGATTGGAATCTATGAAGAATTTGCCAGAAACATACCAGGATTTCAACCATTAGATCGAGAATCTGTCTCATTATTTATACCAAAAACAGTAATTTTTATTATATATTAATTTTTAACTAGATGTGATAGATATATTGATTTTGTTAAATTAGGCGATCCAGGTTGATGAAATGACAATTGTTTATGAAAAAATTATTAATGAAATTGAAGTTCTCCTTCAGTTATATGTTAACAATCAAAGACTTATGACTAATACAACACAATTAACTTGTCTCCACAGTGTGCTAGAGGCATTGGTAGTCTTAAGAAGATCACGTGATTCTGTTGTTGCAACAAATATTATAAACAAAGTAAACGATGATATACAATTATTTTAATTAGGATAATAATTGTTAATTTGATTTTTAATTGAGGAGTTATTATACATCAGCTCATACATTTTCTACATGATTTAAAACAACTATGAATTTTATAAATGTTATGCTTTTATTTATTCTGTAACTTTATTTTTTTTCTAATTAAACATCTTATAAAAAGATCTATTTTTTTCTTTAGACGTAAAATTGTTCAAATTATTTTTAATCCCTTATATTAAATTTATAAGTTAAACATAAAATGTGCTTTAAATATCAGGGAAAAAATTAAATATTTAATTTTTTACTGTTATTATAGTAATTTTTTATTTTTTAATTTTGTTTTCTTTTATTTTATCATATATTTTTAATTGTTATTAACATTATGTTTTAGGTAATCGAAAGTTATTTAGAAGGACTCTGTCCACCTGCTAATCATGATTTAGACATGAGTATTAGATTCCGTGACATACATCTGAATATAATTAGAGCTTTTCAAGATTCTCGTGCTTATAACTTGCAATGGACTAATAAAGTGTTGACGAAGTATTTAACTTAAATATAAATAAGGTAATGTAAATATTTATTTAATCTATATTTGTATTTAAAGATCACTCGTGGAATGCAGAGAAGAATTACGATTCAACCTTGAAGCAATTGATATATTAATTCGTGCTGGAATGTTAAATATTGGCATATATGACATGCATTTAGCTATGTCGATGGATAATGGTACTAACTATGTATCCATGGCATACATAAAACAATTTTTACAATACTATTTAATGGACAATCGATCAAATTCACCAATTAATGAACATCATTTTCAAGCTACTATTGATACATTAAACACTATTATTCTTAGTGGTCGCCCTGTTCCAGATGGGTATAATTCCTAAAGATTATTTATTCAATTTATAATGTTAATTGAATAATATAATTTAAAAGATGTATTTTAATGTTTTAGCTTGACAACTCTTTTGGAAATTATTAGACCATCACAGACAGAAAATAATCTTGTAAATAGGATTCCAAATGCTAATAATAGTAATGCTACAGCAAATACTCATCATAGTTTATTACATGTGAGTTTAATTTTGTTTATTAATTAATTAATAATTAAAATCCCTAATTAAAATCATTATTTAAATGGGTATACATAGTTTAAATTATTTAAATATGATATTAAAATACATAAAAACATTCATACTTTAAACTTGGCACTAAATTTGAAGATTTTTATTTCTAAAATTTTCTTACAATTTCGAACCTATAACAAAATGGTGTTCTAATAAGAATCAAAGTAAATTTGCTTACCAATTATGTTTAGTCTGTATGCAAATCTTGAAATATGTCTTTTATATATTTAATTATTTTAAATAAATATACTCTAATTGATTAATTTTATATTAATATTATTTTTACTGTTTTTTTTATTATTAATTATCATTTTAAAAATGACATAAAATTAAAAATTATCATATTTGTTTATAGGGTAGAGACTATGATGATCCACCAGGTTTATTAGAAAAAACTGAATACTTGCTAAAAGAATGGCTCTCAATATATAATGCTGCGCCTAATAGAGATCCTAGCAAAACTTTTAATGCTTTTATTCAACAAGTTTGTTAAAAATAAGATATCACTAATTTTAATTTTTTTTGAAACAATTTTGTATTTATGTTTATAGATGAATGTGCATGGAATATTAAAATCTGATGACATAATAACTCGATTTTTCCGCCTCAGTACCCAGATGATGGTAGAATTATGTTATAGACAAATACCTGATCAAACACAATCATCTTCAACATTAAGAGCGAAACTTTTTCATACAATTGACGCTTATGTGAAGCTCATAGTGTTATTAATTAAGCATTCTGGTGATTCAAATGCAGTTACTACTAAAACCAATCTTTTAAATAAGGTAATTATTTTTTTGTTTACAATCTGCATAGATAATTGAAGTGATATAAAAAATATACAGGTACTAGGAATTGTTGTGGGAGTTTTGCTTCAAGACCATGATATTCAAGCAACAGATTTTCATCAATTACCTTATCATAGAATATTGATTACTCTATTCCTTGACTTGAATACACCGGATCCAATATTAGAAACAATCAATTACCCAGTAAGTTAGATAATTACAACAAAAAAAAATTTTAAATTAAATGTAATATTAACTTCATTTAATAATTTATTTATCGATAGATACTTGCTATATTTTGTCACACTTTTCATCTCTTGAGACCAAGAAAAGTGCCAGGATTTACATATGCTTGGTTAGAACTCATATCTCATCGTTTATTTATTGGCCGTTTATTAGGGTTAACTTCTCAACAAAAGGTATATAAATAATCGTTTAGTAAAATTCAATTTTTGGATTTAGTTATTGTTTGATAATATTTAAGATAATTTATTTATCTTAAACTATTAATAGAATTCTTATGACCAGACACCAGCCAATGACGTTCAAGGTTGGAACTTTTATGCACAACTGCTTATTGACCTTTTTAAATATTTGGCACCATTTTTACGAAATGCTGAACTTGCTAAACCTGTTCATCTATTGTACAAAGGAACTTTAAGAGTACTTCTCATATTACTACATGATTTCCCAGAATTTTTATGCGAGTTTCACTATGGGTTTTGTGATGTAATACCTCCTAATTGTATTCAAGTAAGTGATATTAATAAAAAACATGCATTTTTTAAGTATATTATATCATGTATAATGAAATGTATTATTTACTTATTATAGATGAGAAATTTAATATTGTCTGCTTTTCCACGTAATATGCGTTTGCCAGATCCATTTACACCAAATTTGAAAGTTGATGTACTTCAAGAAATATCGGTTGCACCAAAAATAAGTCCAGACTTCCTATGTTATATTCAGCCTCTTAGTTTTAAAAAGGTTATAAGTTAAAACTAAAAAAAAATACCTTCATTAAATATTTTAGCTTTAAAATTAAATTATTTTATAGGATTTAGATTTGTACTTAAAAACGCGATCACCTGTAACATTTTTATCAGAAATTCGGACTACTATGCAACAAAGTTGCTGTGAACCAGGAATGCGCTATAATCTGTCCCTTTTAAATGCTATTGTTTTGTATGTGGGAACTCAAGCTATACAACAAATAAGAAGCAAGGGTTTGGTACCAAATACCTCAACTATTACTCATTCTGCCCACATGGATATATTTCAAAATTTATCAGTGGATCTTGATACAGAAGGTTGTATTGATTATTTAATTTATTCAGTATTTACATCTGGATATTGATAACAAAATAAAATAAATCAAAGAAAACATATAAGTAAAATAATATAAAATATACATAAAATAAAATCTTAAGATCTATGTTTTATATAATGTGTATCATTTAAATACAACCATAGGTTAGATTATTTAAATGTTAATAACAAGTATGAAACATTATTAAAATAACAATTTTAAATAATGAAAGTACCAACTATTTTTATTTAATTTTTATTCTTTAGATACAAATATTAATTTGTTATCAATGTCTAAGACCCTGACTTATGGTTCATAAAATAACTTATTATTTTTTAAATTCAGGTCGTTATTTGTTTTTGAATGCTATTGCCAACCAGTTACGCTATCCTAATAGCCATACTCATTATTTTAGTTGTACACTTTTATACTTATTTGCTGAAGCTAATAGCGAAGTTATTCAGGAACAAATTACAAGGTATTATTATTATTATTTTTAATAAACTTATATTAATGCATAGGTGTCCAATAATTTGATTATACTTTATATTAAATCGAGTAAAAGAGTCTTATTAATTATTCCAACTCTCATAAAATTATGTTTATCATTATGTCATAATAAAATATTATTTTCTTTGTTCATATTTAATGCACATAGAAGAAAAAAAATGTCTAAAAAGTTGTGACAGTGCTATTTTGTTCATTTTAATTATTTATATATTTTACTGTATAATTTGTGTCAATAAAATATTGTGACAATTTAACTCTGATTTTATTTAATAATTTTAATTTTCAGATCAGTGCATTTTCTTTTTTTTGCTCTTTTACTCATCTATCATAAGAATATTATTTTACCTGATAATAGATTTACTTTCGTAACTAAATTACCATAATTTAACTTAAATTAAAATTAATTAAAAATATACATAGTAAAATATTAAACTATTTTACAGAGTTTTACTAGAAAGATTGATAGTCAATAGGCCTCATCCATGGGGCTTATTGATAACATTTATCGAGTTAATTAAAAATCCAGCCTATAAGTTTTGGAATCATGAATTTGTACATTGTGCACCGGAAATTGAAAAGTAAGCGATTTTTATTTTATTTATCAATTATTCATTATTTTTAATTATTAACAATATAAAGACAATTTCCTTTAATATATCAATCTTATGATCATTATGCTGTTGTACTTGTTTATAGGCTTTTTGAATCTGTGGCTCGATCATGCATGGTTCCAAAACAACCTACTTCTGCAATGGATGATGAAGACTTATCTAATATATAAACATAAATTAAATATACCTAATAAAACATTATATATAAGTTAATTTTTAGTTTGATAAAAGAACCCAAATTTTCTAATTAAGATAATTATTATTAAAATCTTATATTTATGATCTTAAAAATATATGTATATACTTTACATATTCTAATATTTCTCATCGGTGGCGTATTATAAACTTTTTGGGCCTTTCAAATGTTATTTAATTACAGTGAAAATCGCCTAAGACTGAACATTTTAAACCTTTGAAATGTTACATTTAAGATAAGTTTCCTGACTATCTAGAACATACTTTGACAGGACTAATTATAACTCCCTGTTTATTTATTATTCATCTTCAATAGATAGAAGTAGATAGAGTTCAATAGATAAAGTTTGGTAATCTGTAACATTTTTTTTTTGTCTAGATTAAGTTGAAATTCAGTAAACTTCTTCTCTATAAAAATGTCACTGTTTTTTATTAACTTATAATTAAATTTAAATGTGTGTATACTTAGAAAATTATTTAATTTTATTCAATTTTGAGACATCTAATTTTTAAACCGCAAACCGCAAACTATAAAATATATTAACATGGTTATTTGCTACTTTAAATTGAGTTAAATTTGAATGTGTTTATAATTTGTGTAATGGTCCTTCTCATATATTTAAAATATATATTATAATTTATTAGATCAAATTTTGAATACATTTTCAGTATAATTATTTTAAAATAAATATGAATTCCTAATAAGTATATCAAATTAATATTTATTTTATTACTGTATGGGATTTAAATAAACATTTTTTTTTTTTAAATTTATATTTATGTTTTGGTGTCCAATTATAAATCCATTTATTATTGTATGGTTTTAAGTTTTTCATATTTATTGAATTTTATGTACTTTGTTATTTGATTAAAATACATATGTTAACAAAATGATATTCATCTATTTATGTATACATGTATAAATACATATAAAACATGTATCCATTAATAAGTGATAAATGAAATGGATTAAGTAAATTATAATTTTTGCATTTATTTCGAAATATTTAAAATCCATATACTATGTATTACATAAATGTTTCCACAAAATGTGTGTTCTTACTATAAGATTGTTATCTTAATAATATTTATATTGTATTATTTACAGTTTAATTCATAAATTTTAAATATTAAGCATTAAGCAACATTTAAATGATTACATTTTAAATAAATATCTGTAGTAATTGATTAAATAAATTATTCATACTAGTTTACAGTATATATATATTATAATTGTCTACATATATTTATAAACTTAAATATCTAATAGATTAGTTTTAGTATACTGTGTTTTCCATTTTTATGAAAATGTTTACCCTGTGAGTCAGTTATATAAATAAAATTAGTTATTAATAAAATGTGTTTATATTTAGATAATCTAATGACTAAATTAGTATATTAATTTTTTCACTTGTAGAAAACCAACAATCACAGTTGAAAAAAAATATGCAATGAAGAGTTCTCTGCTGTATAAACTTATTTGTGATAACTTAAAATCCCTCTATAGTTTGAATTTGTCACTTAAAATCAACAAACTATAATGTATTTTTAAATTTTATATGTTGGCCGTAGTTGTTATAAACACTTTTCAGATAAAACAACTGAGAAAGTAACTAGTAGCTGGTTACGTCATTCAATAGACCGTCTTAAACGTATAGCGGCATTATTACCACAAACATAATATTAATGACTAAAATTTAAAATTTTTCAATTTATATTTTAAACTATATCGTTTTTAGTAGAAATTTAAGTAAATCATATTTTATTCCGTACGTTTATTACGCTGATGAAATTAGATAATATTTATTAATCGAAAATATGTCATTATTGGTGGTATCACTTATTCTAAAATGTAATATAAATATACACTTTTATGAGCATATTGTGTTTTTTTTTTTTTACAAGGTATTCATTTCTAATTCAGTTTCATCCGTAATAAATGACCTCTTGAAATGGCTTGACCCACAGTTCCCCGACTCTAGATCCGCCCCTGCGTATAAGTCTATTATTCGTTACCGTTTTTTTTAGTGTTTCAATTTTTAATTCTTTTATTTTTTGAATCTTGTTGCATTCTTCACAACTAAAATACAATTTATTGTCACTTCTCTTTTTTACTGTTGACAATTTTGTAAATTGCTGCTTTAAATTTATTCTCCATACTTTAATATTAAAATTAAATAAAACTATAATGCTATAATTTAATCTAACTTTTATTATATTTTGTTCTCTGGTGTTATACATTTTTACGAATAATGTTATAAAACACACTCGTTGCACATACAATTCGCTATTATATGCCCGTAGATACTAACTAATAAACTAATAGATTATTTCATATTATTACTTAGATTATTGACGTTATTGCTAGTTGGGATTTTCGTTTATATATCTACTTCCGTCATAAAAATTATAAAGTAATAATAATATTTTTTTTTTAGTTATTCCAATATGTCTCATAACTAGGGACCGGATTTATATGCAAAAGCATATATGTACTGGAATAAGCTTTTTGAAATCTGATGAGCATTGTCCCCGATTTAGATCTTTCTTGCAGTTAAAACTTTGCGATTTGACTGTACAGATTTATCTGTAGATATAAATCATTTTACACTTCAGCATACACACCTTCAGTTAAAACTGAGTGATTTTACTATACAATTAGAATAAATCGTGGAGTCATAATCGATAAATATGGCGAAGACAAATGACGCTCTCGCGATTCTCGGATTAATGTGTGTTTTAAAAAATAAAAGACGTAAAAAACGTAACTTATGGTTGTAGCGAGCCTTGACCTAAAAGGGTTGAGCTCGTACGATTGTTTAA